AAGCCAAAGAAGCTCAATATTACAGTTATTAGAGACGAGACCGCGCCACAACAAACGAGCGGAGCCAGAGGAGATTGTGGTCCTCTCGTATGCTTGGCGTTGGAGCGTTTGACGACGGGAAGCATCAAGTATCTACCTCCCACCGATAGAGATAAAGCTGCAGTAGGCTTGTGGTTTCGGCATTATATGGCTAAATCGATATATACGAGACGCTGCCTACCTGCATCCGCGTTATAAAAATGTCCATAAACAATTGGTAAGTTTATATACTTATAAATGAAAATGTTTGGTTAAGTAATTAGAATTCAATAATTTGCGTAGAAAGTGTTGTTTGAACAAATGTTTGGTTTCTGCAGGTTAATCTCAGAAGTGAACTGCGTGAAAATGATGTCGAGCTGCAAAAGTTGATTCAATAGTTTAATTGATTGTTTTTTGATTGTTTAATTGATTTGTAAAAGTTGATTCAATTTTTGATTGTTTAATTGATTTGTAAAAGATGATTTGTAAAAGTTGATTTGTGTAATTGATGCGAACATAATTCTTATTTGTGCTTGTTTAATTGATTGAAATGTAATGGTTGATTTTGTTGATTTCAATCTGCATTATGTTGAAGGCAAAAATGACTATCGCAATGCGAAATGAAAATCGCAATGCGAAATGAAAATCGCAACGAGAGAATCGCAATGCGAAATGAAATCGCAATGCGGAAATGAAAATCGCAATGCGTTTATAATTTCGCATTGCGATTATCTCGTTGCGATTTTCATTTCGCATTGCGATTTTCATTTCGCATTGCGATTCTTTCGTTGCGATTTTCATTTCGCATTGCGATTTTCATTTCGCATTGCGATTTTCATTTCGTATTGCGATTTTAATTTCGCATTGCGATTTTCATTTCGCATTGCGATTCTCTCGTTGCGATTTTCATTTCGCATTGCGATTTTCATTTCGCATTGCGATTCTCTCGTTGCGATTTTCATTTCGCATTGCGATTTTCATTTCGCATTGCGATTCTCTCGTTGCGATTTTCATTTCCGCATTGCGATTTTCATGTTGGGATTTTCATTTCGCGTTGCGATTGTATTTTCCGTGTTGCGATAGTCAAATGCATGCCTAATAGTGATAACAACTGAATAACAAGAGTTGGTTAAGTCAAAATGGTTGGCCTGAGTCATTAATTCAACTGAAAATGTTAAAAGTTCACACATAAAATCCACATAATACAACGTTTGCATATGAGCTTTTGATGGCAACGTTTACATAATACACATAAAATGTTAAATGTTAAAACGTTTACATAATACAACTGAATAACAACGTTTACATAATACAAAGTTCACACCATATGAGCTTTGGATTTTGATGAGGATCCATATTTTGGTAGAGGAAAAGATGATTTTGATGGCACTGGTGATCCACATGTCAACCTTGTATGACCACTTTCCTTGCACCGACTACATGTCGATCTCTTCTTCTCTTCACCCTTAGACGGTATACGATCGTGACTTTTTGGTCGGCCAGGTAGCCTTCTGTCCATGGCTGGTGGCAAAACTGTTTGTAAGTCATCTGGTATGTCCCACTCAGAAGGATGTGGAATAGGGTAGACAATCTCGGCATAAGTCTGTCGATAAACTTCTGTAGTGTAGCAATCCATAGCGTATGCGCTTGAATCATCTTGGTTTAAATGAAGAGCAACTTTTATAACATGGCCACACGGATAACCAGATGTTTGCCATTTCATACAACTACACGTCTTTGCATTTAGATCGACTAGCCCATTTAAGTTATTATCCAGTACTTGAAACAAAGTGTTTGAACATGGTTCAACTCTCCATGACGTTGACTTCACAACACGTTTCGTTATCTTTTTTTCAGTCCATGGTGTAACACGATGTTCCAATGTTCCTGTAAATTTAAATAAACAATACTTAGTAAAATATATAAATATGATAAGTTACGAATTCAAAGAAATAATACCTGCATGGTTTCTTTTCTTGTAGTACCACTGTTGAATAGAGGCTCGAAAAAACTCCATTAACATAGTAATGGGTAATTTCCGGGAATGACGACATAGTAATGGGTAATTTCCAGTATGTCCATTTGTGCTTTTTTATACCAGCAGACCTTGATTTTAGATTTCTATACAAATGAACACCACAAAGTCCATGAAAAGCATCTGGGAAACACCTTCTAACAGCGTTGTCAATTGAGTTTGCCCTATCGGATATGATTGTCAGATTGCTAATAGGACCTATGCAATCCCTAAGATGCCCCATAAACCATGTCCATGAATCAGAGGTTTCAGATTTGCCAACCCCGTAAGCTATTGGCAATATCCCATTGTTAGCATCCATGGCTACTGCTAATAAGTTTACTCCAAGGTATCGACCTTTCAAATGTGCTCCGTCAACTATAATAACTGGGCGCATGTAAGTAATAAACGAACGAATCTACAAAATAATATACACAAGAAATATAATCATTTAAATGTGAAATGGAATGAGTTGCGATTTAGGGATTTAGTTTATGATTTCAGTGTTATATACCCAAAATTTCAGTGTTGTGATTTACAGATTCTCGTTGCGATTTACGGATTATCGTTGCGATTTACAGATTCTCGTTGCGATTTACGGATTATCGTTGCGATTTACGGATACGCGTTGCGATTTACGGATTATCGTTGCGATTTACGGATACGCGTTGCGATTTACGGATACGCATTGCGATTTACGGATACGCGTTGCGATTTACGGATACACGTTGCGGTTTACGGATACGCGTTGCGATTTACGGATACGCGTTGCGATATACGGATACGCATTGCGATTTACCCATACGCGTTGCGATTTACGGATACACGTTGCGATTTACGGATACGCGTTGCGATTTATGTGTTCGCGTTGCGATTTTCATATTCGCGTTGCGATTATGGAAAATCGCAATGCGAATTTGTACTATCGCATCGCGATTTTCAAGAATCGCGTTGCGATTCTGGAAACTGATTTGCGATTCTGGGGATCGCGTTGCGATTTTTATTTCGCGTTGCGATTTTGTTGGTCATTTTGGCAAATCCAAAAAAAGTTGGTTAAAATCGTATATTATAACTTTTTTTTGGTCACTGAGGCGATTTTCTCTTATAAAAATATCAATGTGTAAAGTTATACAAACATTTAAAAAATAATAAGATATAAAGTTATTTGAGAAAAATAAAATAAAAAATAAACTTAACTAATCATAATAAATATTTGAAAAAATTATAAGCTTTTATAAATTAAATCATAAGTATGAAATCATCCAAAAACACGTAATGCTCTCAAACTTTGTATTGACATCTTCAGCTAAAAATTATATTTTTTCATGTTGTTTATCATTACATCATCTGTGACTAAAATATTTTAGGGTAGGATAATCACTCTTTATTTAAGTATTGTATATTTGTATTCACTAAATTTTAAAAAAATTTAATTACTTTCGTTTTTATTTAATTAATGGTCACTGAAGATTAACTGTCGTTAAATCTTTAACGGATTGATGATATAACAATGTGAATTTATAAAATTTAAAAAGTAAACTATACAAATGGTCATTAATGTTTAAATAAGTTTTCATTTTCTCCACCGAAACTTCAAAATTAACAAATTGATTACTAAAACATCAAAAAGCTTTATAATATCTATTTTTTTCCAAACACCCCACCACGTTCACGCAAACCACCCTTCACGTAGCATTGACCCAAGACGGCTTATCGGCCGTAGCAACCCTTTCCCAACTGTCTCTTCATCCTTTAGTGGAAATTTTTTTATTAAATAGTATTTTTAAAATTAAATAAAAATAATATATATATAATAGTAAGTAAAACATAATTAAAAAGAAAAAAGTATTAAAGTAAAACATAATTAAAAAGTAAAAGTATTATTTAATTATTTATATGTATTATACTTTAAAATAATAATAATTCATTAAACATAGTTCGTCACATTTGAAGCATGGAAATCGTCGCAGAAAAACTCAACGTTTGTGATTCTTAAATCAGAGAAAGATGTAAAAACGAACAAAGAAAAGATAAACAAGAAAACCCATCTCCAATATGATTGTTTGAATGCTAAAAACTTCATAGATCTTATTTTTTAGCCTTCAATTTTTCTCTTTCTTAATTTTTTTATGGATTTTGAACTTAGGTTTTGTTGAATGGAATTGTGATGTTTAAAGCTAGTTGGGCTCCCTCGGTATAGTTGGAATTTCCTTCGCTTGTGTTCAGGGGCGGACCCAGGGGGTTGCCAGGGGTAGCCCGGGCAACCCCTCAAATTATGAGGAATATTGATCAAATGATATTATTTTAGTATTTTTATATATATATTTTGTGATTTTTAGGTAGAATCTCATATTTCAGTTAAATTCTTATAGAAAAAAAAATTATACAACAAAATTGTCTACTTAGTGTTAATTTTTTCTAATTTTTTTAATTAATACAAGTGTCACCTTTAATATTGTACAACCCCTAAAAAAATGTATAAGAATTTTTTTGTGCAACCCCTGAATTTTTGTCCTAGGTCCGCCCCTGCTTGTGTTGTCTCTTTTAAGCATAATAAAATATAGTCAAACTGAGACCAAGAAGATGAAAACAATGCAAGAAAATGAACACTCATTCAAATAAATGAAAGACTTAGAATTAAAATAAATGAAAGAGAAAAACGAGAAGATAGAGCATCAATTCGTTAAAGGCCTAACGATAACTAACTCTAAGTGAAAACATCTTATTAAATAAGAATGAAAGTGATCAAATACTATACTTTTTGAATTCAGTGAAGAAAAATACAAAACTTAAATGAAAATCATCAATCATGTAGTTTATCTAATATTTTATGAGTAAATTGAAAATATTATAATTTAATATAAATTTTAATCCAAGATAATCTTTAAGTTCTTAAATGGGAATCTGGTATAGTTTTAGGGGTCAATCTGTCAATAATTTCAAAAAGGAAAACAAACAAGAAGATAATTGCAAGTAGCTAAAAAAGCCAACCAAAAAAACCAAAAGACCCCTCTTTTTAAAGGCTCTCTTTTTTCTCTTTTCATTTCTCTCTTCACATTTCCTTGTCGCTTTTTGTTGTTTTTGTTGTTCATCGCACAATCTCATCTTCACAGATTCGTCATCTTCTCGATCCCCAACCTAACTGTAAGCCGTCTGTCGCGCTATCTCTTAATCTGAAACCATCAACTTCCAATTATGTCATCCAATGCTTCTCTTTTATTTTTTTTTAAAGATCCCTGATTTATGTTCCTCATTATTGCGTCTTTATTTTTTCCTTGATATATTGTATTTCATGTAGGTAATTGTCGATTATATCTTTGATTGGGAATTCGATTGTTAATTTTATTTGATTTTTGATTAGGTGGCTTCGCTATATTTCTCTACTAAGCGATCGAGATTTATTTTGGATTACTACTTTTTTTCTTCTGGAAATTTGGAGTTTATATTATCAAAGTTGGGAATGAAGATTTCTAGTGTTTGATTTGCGATTTACCTAAATGAAGTGTTAGATTTTGCATTTGATGTTGTTATGGTTTTGATTATTGTAATGTAGTGGCAAAATGAAATCGTGAAGAAGAAACTTTTTATTGATTCCGTTGGTATTTCAATTGAGGTTTCAGTGATGCCTGCTCTTTGAGTATTGTCAGTACCTTACTGTTATGTGATTGTTTATTTGTTTTGGAGTTCAGGCAATCATGAGTGACGTCGGAGAAAAGACCTGTCCCCTTTGCGCGGAGGAGATGGATTTGACTGATCAGCAACTCAAGCCTTGCAAATGTGGCTACGAGGTTTGAAGCATATTACTCTTCCATTTTTCTCTTTTGTTTGGCAATTCAAGTATGAAAATGAAGTAAAAATATAACAAAAGTGAGAATGTAGGAAAAAATGTGTCAGTAATGTGCTACATATGGCCTAATCTCTATTGACCTTTGCGACAGATATGTGTTTGGTGTTGGCATCACTTGATGGATATGGCTGAGAAGGATGAAACCGAGGGAAGGTGCCCAGCTTGTCGTACTGCTTATGATAAAGAAAAAATTGGACGAACAGCAGCTAACTGTGAGAGGTCAAGCTCATGAACTTTAAAAATATTGCAATGTTTACTTGCCATATTCTTGTACATATGGTTTTCCCTCCCTCTCTTAGCAGGTTGTTTGCTGAAATTAATTTGGAGAGAAAAATGAAGTCACAAAAGGCAAAGACTAAATCATCTGAAGGAAGGAAGCAGCTGAGCACTGTGCGAGTTATTCAAAGGAATCTTGTTTACATAGTTGGGTTGCCACTTAATCTGGCAGATGAAGATGTACACTCTTTCTAATCCCTGTGTGTGTGCATTTTCAGGCTAACTTTTATACTTGTATGAAGATACCTAAACATGTTTCTCATCTGTGCAGATTCTTCAACGCCGAGAATATTTTGGTCAATATGGGAAAGTTCTAAAAGTATCTTTGTCTAGGACAGCAGCTGGTGCCATTCAGCAATTTCCAAACAATACATGTAGTGTGTAAGTTCAGAAATATCTTGTTTTAGGTTTTAAATTTTCCAATTGTTTAGGCATTCTTGTTTTGCTTGTTAAAACTTCAATAGGAGCATTTTATTTCTGTATTTAGGTTTCTTCAGAAAGGAAAATGTATTTTATCATATCGAAGATTTTTTCCTTGTCACATTGGTGGTTCTCTGTTATCTGCTTTTCAATTTACATTCTTTTTTATCATGTGTACAGATATATTACTTACTCAAAAGAAGAGGAAGTGATCCGTTGTATCCAATCTGTACATGTATTTGTCTTGGATGGTAGACCATTGAAGTATGAAAGCTTCCTTTTGGAGTTTTTCTTTTATTAGTGGTTGGATGCATGGTTGTACCTGGTTATCATCTCTGATACTTGGAATATATATATTTCAGGGCATGCTTTGGTACAACAAAGTACTGTCATGCATGGCTAAGAAATATGGTATGTTTAGAAGTGACTCATTATTTTTTTATGAGTTGAAACTTCTATTTGTTATTTGGAAACTAATTTATCAAATGTAATTGAAGTTTTTTTTTTTTTTTTGGGGGGGGGGTTCAGCCTTGCAACAATCCCGATTGTCTATATTTGCATGCAATTGGTTCTCAAGAGGATAGTTTCACCAAAGATGAGATTATATCTGTGTATTCAAGGTACATTCATTTTGAGTATGCTAGCCATATTCTTTTTTTTTTTAATTTAGTTCTTTTTTGTTGAGTTTCTTTGTAACATTCTTTGTGAGATCAAGAAATTCCACTTGTAGATGCTTTCTGTTTCATATAATTGCATGTGTGCATTGTCTATTGCTTCGATCTTCTTTTGCTAGAAAGGCTAGTTAGAGCTGTCATTTACATATCTTATTGTTATAGTATTCATTCAATAGAGTGAGAACGCATACCCAAGTAGTAAAGCAAGGAAGATAGAATGCCATTAATTGTAAAGCTTACTCCTGCAAGGGACATTTTGGGATCTTTTATTTCTGTCATATGGATACCTCACTTTAAGATGATGTTCCAAAAGGATCTTTTTCTTCTCAATGCTGCTTCCTGGATCCTTAACCTTTTTTTTTTGCAATAGTCAGAAGGGGACTCTGTTTGGTCTCTTTCTATAAAAACAGGTCAACCATTATCTAAACCTGAGTTTCAAATGAATATTTTTGACTTTCTTGTATCTGTTTTGACTTTCTTGTATCTGTTTTTAACTTCTTATTGCGGCATATTTTATTATTAATTCTAAGCATGTATTCCATGTCTGCTTGAATTTTGTGTAATGTCTTCTCTTTGTTGATAATAAGCTTAGTTGTTTAAATGAGTAGGGTTCAACAAATAACTGGTACGACAAACAATTTTCAACGGCGTGCTGGGACTATGTTACCTCCCCCAGTGGATGATTATTGCCCCAACAGTTCGTCTACAGCAAAAAACATTTCTAAAAGTGCTCCAAATGTAAGTTCACGTCATTTAAGTCCCAAACAAAACAGGAAGTTGAAATTATTACACCAATAAATCAGGAATAGTAAACTTGAGCTGTACTTGCTAGCAGAATTTGTTCAAGGAAACACTTCTTAGTAGTGTGATTATTTTTATCTTGAGAGATTGAAATAAGAAAGTCAAATAATAGGGTGGGTGGGTGGCTTGGTGGAGGTGGGGATGGTTTAAACCAGCATGTATGTTTGAACCTGATCCCTGCACCTGACTTAGGTTGTGATTTTTATGCAGAATACAATATTAACCGGTCAAAATGATTCTCCCTCAAATGGAAGCCCTGGTAGATCTCTTGCTCTTCCTGCTGGAGCATCATGGTATGTCTTTTTGCTGTTCTCTTACGCTTCTGTTGTCTTAATTTGTGATACTTAAAGTCTGAATGTTCTGGCAGGGGAACTCGTGCTTTAAACCAGCCACAACCAGCCAGTTTATCATGTTCAAATGGACCGTCTAAGCAGAAATCTGACACCATTAGCTGCACATCACCATTTTTATCTGCCGTAATGAACACAAATCGGGCTTGTACATTACATAATGATGATGTAAAGAAACCATCTGAAGAGATCCATGCTACACATATGAAGGGTAAACCTGATTTGTTAAAACCCTTAAAACGTAACAGTGGTTCAGATGGTCGAACTACTGCACAAGAGAAACCTACTTCACCCGATGGAGTTCCTGCTTCTAAATCATTGAGCAACCAGATATCTTGCCCACCGGCATCCAATTATAATGACCAGGGCACTAATATACCAACTGTTACAAGCGCCATCTTTGACCACATTGAGAAGTCTTTTATTACCTCCAATGAGAAAGCAGGGAGTATTTCGTCTACTGATGAGAAGGTACAGAGCATATGCTCTGATGTCTCATCGTTGACCTTAGATAGGAATGCCTCAAGTGGCCATTCCAATGTCATTAGACCTAGCAGTTCAGCTTCTGATCATGGATCAAGCAGCTCTTCTAGTAGTCGGGGGTTACAACAATGTTATAGAGAGCATTATCTAGAACCTTTAAATTCTGCAACCGCTGAGAGACCCCTGACATCTCCCAGTAGGGTGTCTGTTTCTAAAGGGCAGTCTGATTGGAGAATTGATACACAAACTCGAGTAGTGCAGAATACAAGCTTTGAAGTTGAAGAAGACACGTCTTTTGATAATCAAAGACTCAATGATCCAGAAGTTATTAGCCGACCAAATTATATGCCTAATTCACCAATTTCACTTCATTTATCAAATCATTCTAAGTCCCATTCTTTTCAATACAGTGATTCTTTTGGTGCTGTTAATTTGAATGGTGATACTGCCTTTGTAGATAATGAAGTTAGTGGCAGTTTACAGCTTCACGGATCCGGTGTTTTGTCTATATCAAATGGGTACCCTGAGAAGTATATAGGTAGTAGTAGTGGTTCTGTTATTACGTCAGAAGACTACCTTCTGCCTTCAAATCAAGGGAAAGTGGAACAGGTGGGAAGATTAATTGATAATGCTGAGAACAATGCTGCCAAAGAAACAGGAGAGAACAGCATAATTTCAGACATATTGTCACTAGATTTTGACACATGGGATGAGTCCCTAAGTTCGCCTCAGAGCTTGGCCAAGTTGTTGGGTGACACTGACAATCAGCAGTTTAATTCTCTCAAATTTTCTAGTTCAGGGAAGGCTCTGAATAACAATCAATCCAGATTCTCGTTTGCAAGACAGGAGGATTCTAAATATCAACCTTTTGATGTTGAGTCCTCGTCTAGTATTTTTGGTCAAATGCCACAGAACCGGCTTTCTAAGCAAGATTTAGCTGAAAGCAGGGATCTCTATCTGAATAAGTTTGAAATTTCTAATGGGTTTTCTCCAAATAACTTTGATGAATACAACATTTTTAGTGGCAGCCCTTCAATTTCCCCTTCTAGTAAGCTTTCTGGTGAGTTCCTAGGAAATTACTCTGCCCCTATCACAGTTCAATGCTCTGCTATGGAACATAGAATTTTACCTTTGCTGCCAGAATGTTTGGTGGCATCTCTTTTCTTGAAATCTTAATCATGCAACAAGCATGCTCACAATGAGATCTTAACCATGATTAAAGATAAAGTAGTTTCTTTATTTTTTAAATTTTGTACGCACAGTTCCGTCTTCATCTGAAACTTGTTTTTTCTGACTTCAAAGAACCTCAAGTGACTCGTATTGACATTTCTGCCTATACTGAGCATTATTTCTTCTTGTCATTTTGTTAGAGTTTTGTCAAATTTTTTATTGATTTAGTTCATACTGATCCTCTTTTCAATGTTATTTGGCAGTTTCAAGAGCTCAAGTGTCAGCCCCACCTGGATTCTTTGCTCCTAGCAGGACACCACCTCCTGGCTTTTCTTCTCATGAGAGAGTAGACCATGGTTTTGACACATCATGTAGGTTCCCTTTCTATTATTTGGCTTTAGGTGTTTCATTGCAAGCAAATTGATGCCAACTCCTTTTTTCTTTTCCTTTTAGGTAATCACTTGGACTCTTCGTCCCTGTTAAGAAACTCTTATCAGGCTCCAGCAAGTTGTGGTGTTGGTGGTGCTGGAGATATAGAATTTATGGATCCAGCAATATTGGCAGTTGGTAAGGGTAGACTTCAGGGAGGGCTCACCAATTCAGGCTTAGATATGAGATCAAACTTTTCTCTACGGATAGGTCCCTACGAAAATGAGGCCAGATTTCAACTATCTATGCAGAGATCTTTTTCTCCTCATCGGAACCTAAGATATAATGTTGGGGACAGCTTTTCTTCTCTGAATGACTCTTTTGGAGTTTCTTCTAGGCTAATGGATCAATCACAAGTGAACAATATATCCCCATATGCGCAGTTGTCTCTCCAACAGTCGAGGAATTCACATATGTCAAATGGTCCCTGGGATGGTTTGAATGAGTTCCACGGTGGAAATAATGTTGGCATGGCTGAGTTGCTCAGAAACGAGAGATTGGGATTTAACAAGTTCTATTCTGTTTATGAAGATTCAAAGTACAGGATGGGTGATCTATATAACAGAACATTCGGGATGTGATTGTTGTTGAAATCAAATCTCTGCTTAATTGACAATGCGAAGATGAGAGAAACTTTTTGTTGTATCTTGTCCTCATGTTGAGAATGACATGTTGAATTGTAACTGGTCTCCTTTGGCAGCCTGATGAAGAGTACCAAGCTCCCAACACATTGGGCGAAGAAGATGTTGTCGGCAAGCGTATCTTGCATTGCTTAAAAAGCTCATATCTTGTGGTAATATTGATTGGGGTTTCCTCCGATAAAACACATAGGTGAGATGAGCTTCTGCCTTGGCCATTTTGGATATAAATTGATTGCACCTCAGAGTGCTTGGCGTATGCAATCTTCTCATCAAACTGGCAGGTTGGTCCTCTCCATTTGCTGATAGTTACGCTCTTAATCGCCCAATACCCAGCCCTAAAGTAAAATACGGTGGCTGCTCCTGCTCTGGAAACTAAATAGATCTCAACTGGAATCCAACTTTACTTTTTTGTTAGATATCAATGGTTGTAAAGAGTTAGTATATTGTGTTTCGGAGATGGGATTTATTAGCTGATAGTTGAACAAGGGATATTTGCACTAATAGCAAAGAAAGAACAATTTGAATAATAAACGTTGGGGTGACTTTCAAATCTGATTTAGTTTTGCTCGGTCCTATATATAGACGAGATGTTTCCTTATGTTTGTGTATCTATTGGAATTATAAGAAAATATGACTTGTTCGAGTGACATTGTAGTGGTTAATTTAATATTTGCTTTCTCACCAAGCAAAGTTAAGTGTATTGATGATTATTTTAAGGGTAAACTACAGAAATGATCACTTATCTTTCACATTTGTACACTTTTGCTCACCAGATTCAAAAAAGACAAGTTTTGGTCACTTATGATTTTATTTGAGTTTTCGTCGTTGGGATGTTAGAGGTCGTTAGTTTGATGACTGGCAAGATAATAAAATAGTTTAATTTTGTGTTTTTAAAATGATTAAATAATAGCCCCTGAAAAATCTTGGATTAAATTCGTTGGTTTGATGTTAATTAAACTGAAATTTTGGAGGTACAAATTTAAACTCTTCCCCTAAATTATGCGTTGGTGTGCCTGAAAGAAGAGATAATGTGATGCAGTCCAATACATAGGGGTGGTAGAATGGTATTTTGGTTTGCTACATTAAAGTCCTGCTTCATGTAACTCTTCCCAGTCTCTAAATTACATGAAAAAGATGTAGAAAAGTAAAGGGTATATAATACACTCGACCATCTCTCTCTCTCTTAGGCCTTTGGAACTTCGCAGCCTTCCTAGGTGTTAATGAATAGGATCAGGTGTTTTGTCTGTGGACGCCCGTTTCCCTTTTCTAATCTCAATTGTAATGTCCAAACACCTCTTACTTTTAATCCTTTTTATGTAAATACATGTTCTAAAATATAATTGGTTGGACTCGATCTTAACAAATTTGAATTTATATTGGATATAGTTTTATTCATCAAATTGAAAAACATTCGCACATCTGTCCTCGGTTTAAGTTCACAAAAACAATAGAATCTCTCTAATTTAATCGCTAATATTAACTATCAGGGCTTAATCATGAATGTGAAGTTATTAAATATCTCAAAGCAATCGAATCCTTCTTTTTGGGTTACTTTTGCCGAGTGTACGTCTGAATTTATTTTTTTATCAATCTTACCCTTACTCCTGTTTCTATTTCCTTTGATAATTAAAACCAAAGGCTTGAGCAGTCGGAACTTTCTAGATCAAACTAATTAATAATAAATATTGGTCCACCGTCCATGCCTCTTATTGTTGTCATCTGATTGTATTTTGCACACCTATGGGATGCAATCTTTTCACATTATTTTCAAATGACTTGTTTTAGGTACTCCACCCATTAAACCAGCCACTTTGTTTTCATTATCCCCATAACACCATTCTAGATTATATTTTCAATATTTTAATTTAACAAATTACTATACAATAAATTCTTAATTTAATGTTGTGATTAAATGTCAACCCTGTTTCTTTAAGATCCTTGGAACTTCTTGATTACAAATCTTTTTTATGTATTAGTATAATAATAGCATTTGTCATTATCTTATGAGATAAGGTTAATGAACAAAAAATACTATCCACATAAATAATTAAAACACTTGTAAATGTACTATATCAACAGCAAGTATTGATGATTGTTCAATTAATATTTTTTTATTTAAAAAAGTCAACAGAAAAATAAAATATTAAGGAATAGAATGATTAAAAAATAGAAGTAAAAGAAATCTGGTTAAAATCAAGAGCAAGAGCAGAGTTTGATATTATATATAATACATTGTTAAAAATATTTTTTTTATAAAAAAATTACTATAAGTATTGAATTTGTCAAATGTGGTATGTGAATTTTTATTTTATATTATTTAATACATAAAAATTTAGAATAATCTTTTTTATTTTGAAAATTACTAATACTTACCTATTACATACACAAACAACCATATTTATAATACAAATAGATTTATTTAATTCTTTCAATATTTTATAACTGAATTGAATTTAAAATTTTATGTATATATTCTCTTAAATAAACTGTTCTATATTATCGAAAGAAAAAGAAGATAAAGTAAAGTAGATGTTACACACTATTGTATTGAAGATTGTTATTTATTTAAGACCGTCAAACAAATTCATGAAGGAAAAAACTTTAAACTTCTCCGATTATACTTGTTCCATTATTACAAAGAAAAATATTTGGTCCTCTTTATAGTCGTTAATCTTCTAGGTTCGGCCTTATTTGTATTAATGGACACATTTAACTTACTTGTATTAATTTATAGTCCTCTTTATAAATTAATTATAATGTATATATTAATTGAAACATTTAATTTATTCATGTAGCACGAATCAAGTGGCCTCCATGATAAATAATTGTTGTTATTCTTTGAGGATTCGAGTTCAAACACTATAAATGTCAGGGTGTGAGCATTTAATGTTGAGAGGTTGAGAGTTATCTTTAAACAAATAATGTATTATAATTACCTAAATTAATAAAAAAAAACTTATTCGTGTATGAATTTAATGATGTATTAAAAATTCATATAAAGTAAAGTTTTAATTACACTTCCGTAATGATTATATATTTGCATTCATAATCAGTTAATAATAAATAAGATGAGAAATTAAATTGTAGAAAAACAAAGGAGTAAATGAAACGGGAATAGGAAAGTTGGTGGCTTCCTACTACGGGGTTTTAACCAAATTCCAACGCGTTACAGTGAAAGTTTTAAATTCCGGCGGTGATGAGCTGCATTTAATCCTAGTTAAAACTCCAAAATATGTAATCACGCCCATGTGCCTTGACTAATCAAGGCGGTTGACTCCCTGTAATTGACGGCCCATTTTATTTTATTTTGAAACGCCCGGATCACCGTTCATCTGTAATTTAAAACGTCTCATTGAGATTTTAAGCGTTAATAAAAGCGTGTGTCAGTCGGTCCCACAACCTATGTGGCTCCCACCGAAATGTTTGACCTATCAATTTTTAGAAAATCGGACGGTATTTAAAGGCTGTATGTGATTAATAAGTCACCCTACGGTGACACCGTCAAATAAGAAAAATAAGGGGTAAACTACAGTCCACATAAATGCTTGTTTATTTTCTTTTGATTTTGGCAAGTCAACTTTTAATTGTTACAATTTCGTTCATTTCTATACTAAGATGTTAATAATACTTTAATCACTAAGATGTTAATTTAAATTGTATTAACGACTTGAAAAATTAATAGAAAAGTTAATTTTTATTTTGACTTATAAACTTTAAATAAAATATAAATTTAATATTTTTTATACTATTTTAACTATAATTATATAAAAACTTTAGTCGTCGTCCTTGATTTCATCATCATCACTTATTTGACCACCTTCTTTGACATGAACCGACTGTAATCATATGATCTAAAAGATAGACAAAAAATAAATAAATTTATATACTCACAGTAACATAGTTACCATAACACTTTTTACAGAATTAATATTTTTGACATCATGCACAAATTGTTCAGAAAAATCTAAGAGATTATATGCTTGTGTCATTCTATGTACAATCTAATTAAGTTTTCAAAATCACCGATTTTAAACAAAAACATATATTGAAAGCTTAATTAAATATATCAAAGTCGTTAAAAAATAACAATCATTTAAATTTGATGGAAATAAATTTAATAAAGTAATCTATCATGTAATTGCAATCATAATACATAAAAGTACAAAAAAAGTTGTGGAGAATATAATCGATAGCATCATTGCAAAGAATAAGTTACCCTTTTTTGTTAACATGTAACATCATCAATATATGAAGAGTTAAAATGTTATTAATCAATAATATAAATGATCAAATCATAATAATTAAGAATTGAGTGGCGTAAATCATAAAAAAGAACAAAAGTGACCTCTATTGTAGTTTATCCGAGATAAAATATAAAGGAAGAAATGAAAATTTTGTTCTTCCACAGTATAAAGGACAAAGGTCTGTTGCGATGACCGGCCCGCTTCGGATCACTGCGGGACAATCAAATTACGCCACGTCAGCAAATCGGCGATTTTTTTAAAAAACAGGAACCGACAAAAACGAGTGCACGGTTCCTTGCACATGATTTGACCAAAAACACCCTATTATAAGTGACGTGGTGCACTCTTGTGAGAGTAATGGTTAACGAGTTTCCCTGAGTCGCGTTTCTCCCGAATATTACCTAAAATTTATCAAGTCTATAAAATATCAAAAAATTCATTAACACTAAAATTCATCTCTATTATATTTTCATTTTCTTTGCTTTCTCTGCTTGTCTGGCAATTTTCCTGGGGTTGGAAAATTTCTCTGTGCAGCTGAGAAAGTAAAAGAAAAAAACAGAAGAAGGTGAAAGAAAAAGGGAAAGATTATCAGGAGGGGAAAGAACTATTACTTGTTAAATTAAATTATTGAGCATGGGTTGTTCTTGTTGGCCTGGGAGTTCAAGCAAAAGATCAGGGGAGCCAACAAACAAGAACATTAACAAGAAGAATGATATCAGTTGCAACAAAAGTAAACACCGTGCTCAAACACAAGCCAGTTCGGGTATTGAAATTTATTGTCAAATTCTATGATTTTTCTGTCTTTCTGGCGTGATAAATTGCATTGTGTTTGATCATGGTTGATTCTATGTAAAAGTTTATTTTCCGTTGCTTTGTTCTTGTGGATAAAGGTGTTTTAGAATCAAAATGGGTTCCTTCTTTTGATTGCCAAACTAATAACTTTGGGATTTATGTTTCGATCATTGCAAAATGGGTTTTAAGTACTTTTTGATCCATTTGGTATGTTAAGATTCGGTTGAATGCTTTAGTGAAATTGTATACTGTATTTACTTAAACATGTTATGAATGTGTAATGATGATAGTTGTAATTTTGTTTGTTTGCACGATTCGATTGAAAGATCCATTCTTTAGTTCGAAAATCCGTACAGGATGTTCCCCTTTGTCCTTGTTTCCTTTTCCTTTTCAAGGGACCTTATGTCTTTTTTATTTGCTGGTGATTTTTTTTGATCCATTTGCTAATAGATGAGTTGAGAGTCGGTGCATACGAGACTGTAAGAAAGGAAGAGGTATCTAAGAATGACCAGTTATCTGTCGATGTTAAGAAACTTAATTTGGGTGATGAGATTTCCAAGGATGGTAAAGCTAGCAAACGGGCACAGCCATTTACATTCGATGAACTAACGGCCGCAACAGGGAACTTTCAGTCGAATTGTTTCCTGGGTTCAGGAGGATTTGGAAAGGTTTTCAAGGGATTATTGGAGAAAACAAACCAAGTTAGTAATGTTTTGTCATTTTTTTGTCAATGTTGTTAAAAGATTACGAATCTTGTCTTGTCAAAACTTTGTTAATTGGCTAGAATTATGCATTGACATCGTTGATGAACTTGCTGGTTACTTTTCTGGTTTCTTTCTTGATGTAGGTTGTCGCTATCAAGCAACTTGATCGTAATGGCCTTCAGGGCATTAAGGAATTCGTTGTTGAGGTATTAACATTAAGCATGGTGGAGCACCCGAATCTTGTTAAATTGGTAGGGTTTTGTGCTGAGGGTGATCAAAGACTACTGGTTTACGAGTACATGCCATTAGGATCTTTGGAAAATCATTTATATGGTAAGGAAATCTTCCTCCCGTTTCCCCTCTGATTTCGTTATTCTTCTGTCCATGTTTTATGACACATCTTCCAACTATGGGTGCAGACCTTCCGCCTGGCCAAAAACCATTGGATTGGAACACTAGGATGAAAATAGCAGCTGGTGCAGCGAAGGGGTTAGAGTATTTGCATGTAAAATTGGAGCCGCCTATCATATACCGGGACCTTAAATGCTCCAATATTTTGCTCAGTGAGGGATATCATCCGAAGCTATCCGATTTTGGTTTGGCTAAAGTTGGTCCCAGTGGTGATCAGACTCATGTTTCTACTAGGGTTATGGGCACATATGGCTATTGTGCGCCGGATTATGCCATGACCGGACAACTGACATTTAAATCGGATATTTACAGCTTCGGGGTTGTTCTCTTGGAACTAATTACTGGTAGGAAAGCAATCGACAATACAAGAGAACGTAGTGAACAAAATCTCGTTTCATGGGTAAGATAAAGCTTATTCCCCATTACTTAAAGTTTTATTATCAGGATTGTCGGTTTAATATGGATCTGATGAATATGGTTTTGATTGGTTACCTTGGTTTTGTAAGGAAATACTGTAGTAAATGGCGAGCTAAAAAAATTAATGGCAACCCTAATTTTGTTGTGTCTTTGTATCCTGATATTAGTACTTTGTCATGGTCAATGAACTGGTTTGGAAAGGAAAGTGATAATTAAGGGTTTCTTGGCTTGTATCGGTTTTGCAAATGCTTATCTGTTTATTTTATTGCAGGCGCGTCCCATGTTCAAAGACAGAAAAAACTTCTCAAGAATGGTTGACCCTCTGCTGCAAGGTCAATATCCTGTCCGAGGTCTCTACCAAGCGCTTGCCATTGCTGCAATGTGTGTTCAGGAGCAGCCTAATGTGCGCCCAGCTGTATCTGATGTGGTTATGGCTCTGAATTACCTAGCCTCCCAAAATTATGAACCGAGCAATCATGTTCACAGTTCCACAGCAATGACTGTGGATGATGACCAAAAATTAGTTGCAGAACATGAACTCGATAGTTGCTGAGCTTGGAGGACAAGAAACCAAAGAAAGAAAATGAATAAAAGTTACTGCAGTGTTAAAATGGTGCCTGGTTGTTGATTTTTGGATTGAAGATGACAACCGACATACTGCCAACCCGTAAAATCATCACATACAGAGATCCCCCCCTCCTTCCCCATTTGGTGGTGTACATGCGAGTTCTTTTATGTAAAATGCTTAGCATTTTCAGATGAAAATAGATTTAGCCATCTCATACCAAAAACAGAAATTTGATTACCTGCTGCTAATGGAAACAAAGTTCTTACATCGTTCGTTGTATTTCATGTTCCACCAGTGTAGGTTTTGGTGACTGAAAGCTTGATATTGTTTAAAATACTACTAGATTTGGTAATTTCGAACGCGGTAGGCATGGTTACAGGACGGAAAGCACCGTGAATAATACCTAAACCATGTTTAAATTTATATCGATATGTTTCACCTTTAACAAATTTGTTGGGTAACAGGGAGGGTCGGTATCACCTATATAATATTTATTTTAAATTAATCAATTAATAAATTACCTATAATTTTTTTGAATTAATCACCCTCATCTGATCTACTAACCGACTAATTCAAATCGGGTATTACAAAGACAAAGGTAACCCTCTCAATTCAGTTTGTTTCATTTGCAAATATCATGATTCAAACCTTTAACCTTGGACCTAATACTTTATCCAGTAAACTAGCTAATTGTTGGTATAAATTACATATAGTTGATTATAATATATATATATATATATATATATATATATATATGAGATTATCTCAAAAAAAGCGGACTAATATATAGCTAAAAACGGTATGACTAGAAACTTAATAAGATAATTAATAATTTCGGTAAAACGCTACCTATTATGTTGTCAAACTCATAATGTTGTAGGTAGAAAACATGATAAACTATTAAAAAATTTTGTAACCGATAAACTTTGGTTATCGGTAGGTATCGATACATATATATAAGGCTTCATACTTATTTCACTGTGGAAAACATTAATTTAGAGTTATTTTTTAAGTGAGTTTTAAGATATTAATTTAGTAATTATACGCTTCTAATGATTTATTTTTATGTTAGGGTATATATTATTATTAAGTTTAAAAAAATAAACATAAATATTACATATTTATTATTATCTTTGGTTAAAATTGTTAAATTTAAATTCTAAATAATATTTTATAAAATATCTAAACAATCAAATAATTTTTGTGTAAATGAAATTATTAAATTAATGTTGTAGGTGGAAAATATAAAGAACTATTAAAAATTTTTGAAATATAAATTGCATAACTTATGTATCAATAATTACTTAAAAAATATGGATATTTATAGAAATATTGTCCAGTTATATTGTTATGTATTAATATATTTTTATAAAGTATCGATATTTTATAGGCGCTATTATTGTTTTTCTTTTAAATTCTAAAAGTACCAATACTTATTTGAATAAAATCGATACTTTCAACATATCTGGTAACGTTTTACCGGATTTGTTAGAATGAAACCGGTTTTTTCATATTTTTACATGTTATATTATTATGTGTCGATACATTTTTATAAAGTATTGATACTTTATAGGCGCTATTACTGCTTTTCTTTTAAATTCTAAAAATGTCGATACTTATTTAAATAGAATCGATACTTTCAACATATCTAGTAGCGTTTTAACAGTTTTGTCATAATGAAACTAGTTTTCTCATATCTTTACCTGTTATATTTTTATGTATCGATATATTTTTATAAAGTATTGATATTTTATAGGTGCTATTAATGTTATAATGAAATCAATATATATTTTAATATAATAGGTAGCACCTATTTTTTTTACCGTTTACATTATTAGCATCATTCTAAAAAATCGGTAGATAATTTAATGTAATAGTTAGCGTCTATTTTTTTACCGTTTACTTTATTAGTAACATTCAAAAAAATCGGTAAGTAATTTAATATAATAGGTAACGTCTATTTTTTTTTACCGTTTACATTATTAGCAACCTTAAAAAAATCAGTAGATATTTTAATATAATAAGTAACGTCTATTTTTTTATACCGATTACACAACCTTAAAAAATAGTATTTTTTTTAATCGATCTATTATTTATCCAATCACACCATTTTTAACCACCTCACAGAATAACTTCACACGCACACATATATAGACAAATTTGTTGGGTTGAGAAAATGTTTCCCGAGTTTTCAACTCCTAGAAGAAACACAATTTAACCGCTCAATGTATCCACGTCATCGATCCGAGTCTATACTTCCCCTCCTCTCAACTCTCCGTTTATAACTTATCAACGGCCGAAAATCATCGATAAACATTCCACACGGATTACTCCCCTAACTCAACTCTCCTCACTTCCCTATAAATAGATCCCACCATTTGACTGTTTATAATTGAATTTTCTAAATCTTCAAACTCTCTTTTTTCTAGCACGATCTCAAGGATGTCAGGAAGAGGAAAGGGAGGTAAGGGACTGGGCAAGGGCGGTGCGAAGCGCCACCGTAAGGTCCTCCGCGATAACATTCAGGGAATCACGAAGCCGGCGATTCGGCGTCTTGCTCGTAGGGGAGGAGTCAAGCGTATCAGTGGCCTAATCTACGAGGAAACTCGGGGAGTCCTGAAGATTTTCTTGGAGAACGTGATTCGCGATGCCGTGACCTATACAGAGCACGCCAGGAGAAAAACTGTGACTGCCATGGATGTTGTTTACGCACTGAAGAGGCAGGGAAGGACTCTGTATGGATTCGGTGGATAGATGGTTTTAGACTTTAGGGTTGTAAAAGTTGGTGTCGGTGGGGATTTGAAGTCTTGCGGTCAAGAATGTTTGAGCTTGGTTAAAGAATTAGGGTTTGTAATTAGAGATTTTCATTGGATTATCAGGAATTATGAATTGGGTTTTGTTGGTTTCATCTATGATTTGTAATCCGTGACCTCGATTGCAAATTTTAATGAACTTGAATTTGAATTATTTTGCTTTTAATCTCTTTCCCAAAGTCGTTTACGATTTATCTTTTGATTTGTATTTTTATTAACCAGTATAATTTGAAAAAGAAGACGACAGCAAATTGGGCGGCAGTGCCGGTTTGGATCATCACTAACAGCTCATTTCAAGCTTGCTTTAAACCTCTAGCTTGGCTGGACCAATTCGTTGAAAAAATTGTAACAGAGTATGTGCTTTTGTTAGTAAAAGTACAATCTGATACTATTATATTTTTAAGATGAATTCGAAGCCTACTCTTAAAGGAATTGCGAGTACAATTTTATTTTGTTCTTTTAACCTAACAAGTCCAATAAATTCTATGGCAGGACTACGCTCATGGTGATATGTTAATACTGACATTCTTTTTATTTTATAATTTTGGGTAAACTACACTTTTAATATTTAATTTAGATTTATTATCTCGTTATTATTAATAAATTAACAGATATGATATTTTTATTGACTTAATTATATTATATGTTCTTAAATTATAATTCTTATTTTAAATTGTGCTTTAAACTTTAAACATTCTAATTTTATCTTTAAAATATACTTTTTATTTTAAATTAATCCTCAAACTTTATAATATATCAATTTTATTGCTAATTTATAAACTTAATTCTATGTTGATCCTCATACTTCTAAATTTTAATTTCAACTATGAAGTTTTGAGTGATTTAGGGAATATTATTGGAATATTCAAAAGTTCGGACACTAATTTAGAATAAGTGTCATAGTTTGAGGATGAATTTGAAATCTTTGAAAGTTTGAAGACCGAATTTGAATGTGAGTCATAGCTTATGGTGGAAATTAAAATATTTAAAAGTTTAGATATTAATTTAAAATAAGAGTTATAGTTTGAGAATATATGTTGCAATTAACTATACTTTCTTTTTAGTGATTTCTTTATTTTTTGAATGATGATATGATTATCTTATAATTATACGATAGCATTATTGATATGTTTTTAATAATATGATATCAAAATGAAATTTACATTAAACATCTATTAATATTATTGTTAAGTTTTTAATAATATGATATCAAAATGAATTCACGATATAATTTTTTGAAAGATAAAGTTTTAACACTAATTAAATTAAAAATAATAATTTACATATTAAAATATATAGTTTACTTTAAAATTTAATCGAGTTGATAGGATAGCGGTAAAACTTGTTATTAAAGTTTGGACGAAGCTTAACGTCAATGGTGCCCGAAATCCTCGTACGAGGTTGCCGGTTTGTGGTGGTGTCATTCTGGATTCTAATGATGATTGGGTGATGGATTTCACGAAAGTGCTAGGGTGTTGTTCAATCTTCAATGAGGGCTTTTGGGCATCTACGAGAGCTTGAAGATGGCTTGGGAAATTGCTTCCGAAACATTGTGGTGAAAACCGATTTCAATGAGGTATTTGCGTTATTGCAGCAACGTGAGGCGATCTCATATGGTTACTCACTTGATCAACATGTGCTGCGAGAAGGTAACAGAATTGTCGATGCGATAGTAAATGTCTCATGGATACTTCCTTTTGATATGACTCGGTTCAGTTATCCTCCACCAGAAATAATTCATCTTCTATGACATGAATGCGGCTATTACTACTTAATATATTTTGGCTCCTCTCCTTTGTATTAAAAAAAAAGAGTTTTAATGGAGCATATAGCGTGATGATTAAATAAGTTCCATTACTCGTCTTTGTTGTTTTAAATTTGAATTCAGCTCGCAGTATAATAATGGAAAGAATTTGGGTTGATTGAAACCGTCCTTCATGTTCCTTATCCTATTATTCTAAAAAAACCAATTAAAAATAGTTTCCTTCATAATTTTTTTTTTTTACTTTTAATGAAATTTAACCATAATGTTGCATATTATAATTAGAGTCAGACTTTTATTTATATAAAAATAAAATAGATGGTTTGGAGACAAACAACGTGCTGAAATAGATTCATTTTTATTTTCGTCCAAAATAAGTTTAATCTTAACTCATCAAGAGCGATGAAATATCTAAAATCGGACGGTTGAGATTCCGTCAACTATAATTAACAAACCTATGTTAGCACACATAATCATTACTTTCCCCTCTTCCATTATGCTAATAATCCAAAAAGAAATAAAAAAGAAGAAAGGACAGGTTCATTTTTCGTTTACCCTCCGTACATTACCCTCGTTTCCTTTTTCTCATATCTTTTTCGATTTAGGGCAAAACAAATGTAAGAAGAGACCCAAACAAAAAGGCAGCAACTCGCTCAGATTCAGCTCACGTAATTTCTTTTAAAAAGGTTAAAAAAGAGGACAATTCACGCTTGTTGATCTAACTTGCAGGTAATTCTCACTCGTGAGTCAATCTTGACTCTTCCGAGCTTCGATCTCAAAGCGTACCGAGTTTTTCTGGTTCTTATGTTACCTGCTTCGTTCGGTTAGGGTAGTATTAGATTAGGTTTTGTGCATTTCGAATCTTATGTCTATTTTTACGAACGGTTTTTTTGTAATGATTTTATCGGAAAAATGTAGACTGCTTGTATGCCGTTGTTTGACTACCGAAAGCAATCGTGACGAATGTGGAAACCGTCCTTTCGATTAACTCCACTGAACTAACCTGTATAGTAGTTCTAGTTCCATAGAACGTGGATATTGATGTTATTTGAAAGTGATGATTTCTATCTCAAGAAATGGAATTTATAAGTTTCTTCTTTTTTTCTAATTTCGCTCAAATCCAAAGAAGGAACTTCGTTCATTTCAATTTTCCATACAGAGAACTACAGAGGAAGGTTTGAAAGCCAACATAGTTTAAAATGTATGCGATAGGCGTTTTGTTGTTTTTCTTTTTTTTTTAAATCCAGAATTTGTAAGACTTCTCAACCGAAATTTTTTCACTTCATTTGGAGAAGGAATGGTGAAAGTCATTTCTCAGTGTTGAGAAAGTTATCCGGACATCTTTTCTCTCTGTAATTACATTACCCAAGTAGCAGGAAAAAAATTAGGTTATTGTTCTACACGTCAACCATTTTTAGTGGATTTTGCTGTTAACATTGGGTTTGTTCACTCAATTCCACCTTTTGATCACTTTGTGGATAATTTCTTACGATTTTGTTGTCCTTTTCAGGCTATAATCACTCTAGCAGAGTCTCAAATCAGGATTGTGCCAACTTATACTCAAGACATTGAAGGCTGCTGCTTCTCAACAAGGAATGATTTTTTGCATGTCCTATTGACATGCCATGTCGGGGTTACTTAATGTATTGTTACTTCAACTGAATAATTATTTGGAGTTGTCCTTTTTAGCATTGTTCTGATTTTTGGACCTTTTTTTTCTGTCTAAATTAAATTATGTGGCTACTGTAGGTGAAGTGGCGAACTTAGTTCTTTGCACAGAGGATAACTGATATCAGTTATTTTCATTTGTAGATGTTGCATATTGGATCTGTTGCTTTTATATGTGTTTGTTGATTTTAACATGTTCTGCCATACTGATTTCTTTTTTAACTTGTTAATTACATATCGTTGCTACACCATTAAAATTCAATTGGTTGATATGCTAGTTTTTCTTTCTAGATCATAAATGGTGAAATGTTTAGAAATCTTCTTCGCTTTATGATCTATCATCTTTTTGATAGAAACTTAAAATCAAACTTGAATGTTGTCTATCTCTGTTGTAGTATTTTCTTGGTTGATTGTTCTTTGTATTTTTGTCTCACATAACTATCCATTAACTGAAAATTGAATGTGCATCTGACTTCAGTCTTCCGTCAACGGATCAGCATCAAATCTTCCAGACAGTAGTGGACGTTTGTTTGCAACATCTTTTTCTGGTCAGTCTGGCGCAGGTTCCCCTGGATTCCATCACACTGGTGGGTCGATTTTTCTGCATAACTGATCATCCATGTCCTTCTGAATTCATGCTAGTCTATGGTTTGTTTTTGCAGGAACTATTCAGGGCCTGCATAGTATTCATGGTAGCTTTAATGTTCCCAATGTGCCTGGTACTCTCACATCAAGAAACTCAATGTTGAATGTTCCAACTGGTGTTCAACAACCTACTGGGAACCTTTCTAGTGGAAGATTTGCATCAAATAATCTTCCTGTCGCTCTTTCTCAGGTACTTGCAACATTCCCAGTGTATTATGATGTGATTTCTTTTGTTGCAGCAATAAAATTTGGTAATGTTTTCTCTCCCTTCATGCTCATCTTTAGGAAAAACACACATGGAAAAAATAATTATAAATGAAATCTTTCATTCTTGTAATATGTATTAAATTTTCTTATGGGTACCCTTTTTGCAGTTATCTCACGGCAGTTCGCATGGACATGCTGGAGTTATCAATAGAGGAGGTATTAGTGTTGTAGGGAACCCTGGATTTAGTAGTAACACAAATGGAGTTGGTGGTTCTATACCTGGGATTCTCCCAACTTCTGCCTCAATTGGTAACTGCAATGCTGTTCCAGGATTGGGAGTTTCCCCAATTTTGGGAAATGCAGGTCCTAGGATAACAAGTTATTTGGGGAACATGGTTGGCGGGGGCAACATTGGAAGGAGCATAAGTTCTGGTGGAGGATTATCTGTATCTAGTCTTGCTTCACGTCTGAATATAGGTGCCAATAGTGGATCTGGGAATCTAAGCATGCAGGGCCAGAATAGGATGATGAGTGGGGTGCTTCCTCAAGGTACGTTACTGTGAACAATTACCCTTACATGTTGTTGTCTTAAAAAAAAAAAGACCACTGTTTATGTGTGCTGCCCACTATATGTGCCATCAACACAATGCAGAATGGGTTCTTGAGTGGTGTGCTTCTTCGATCTTTTTTTTATATTTGATGAGTTTTTTTGGCTTCATTTCTTGCATTGCTCTTCATTTCTAACTTGTAATTGTTAAAAGTTAACTTGACTCTTATTCTTGGCTGATATTGGATACATGTTTAGAACTTTAGCCATAATTGTGGACTTACTAGTTTAGCTGTAGTTGTTCCCGTGAATAACCCTTTCTGGATACAGGATCTCCTCAGGTAATGTCAATGTTTGACAATTCTTATCCAACTGCTGGGGGCCCACTTTCCCAGAGCCATGTTCAAGCTGTGAACAATCTTAGCTCTATGGGAATGTTGAATGATGTGAACTCAAATGACAATTCCCCTTTTGACATGAACAACGACTTCCCTCAGTTGACAAGTCGTCCTAATTCTGCTGGAGGGCCTCAAGGACAATTGGGTAACTGAACAAAGATGCCTTCTGATTCTTTCATTTTTTCTTTTTCCTGCTGCTGAAGTTTTAATATATTAAGTTAAACATTTTAAGGTTTATTGCGAAAACAAGGTCCGAGTCCCATTGTTCAACAAAACCAAGAGTTCAGCATTCAAAATGAAGATTTCCCTGCTTTACCAGGATTTAAAGGTGCTCGGGTATTCTCTGATTGGGTTTTGATTGTGTATTTTTTATTTTCTGGTTGACATTACTCAATGCTATGTATGTCTTTTGAATCCAGTTTTAACTCAGTACCTAAGTTTTTAGACATTGCAGTATAATAGCTGTCTACTGATCTTTTGGCAGCCTTATCTATATGCATTTATACCTTACCTCCTTGTTCTGAGGTGTTCTATGTTTTTAAAGTCATTAAGTGTTTGAACTTATTATTCAATATTGTACAGGTGGTAACCCTGATTATGGAATGGATTTGCAACAAAAAGAACAACTTCATGACAATCCCATGTTAATGATGCAATCTCAGCACTTCTCTGTGAGTCTCTAAGTTGCTACGTTTATAAATAATTGCATGTTTGTGAGATTTTATCTATTTTTCATCAACTTCTGAAGAAGTAGATTATCATCTCCATTATGTATTACCTCTACTTGTGTGCCATTTTGCACAGATGGGGAGGCCTGCAGGATTTAACTTGGGTGGGTCTTATTCTTCTCATCGCCCACAGCAGCAACATGCTCCATCAGCCAGTGGCAGTGGCGTCTCCTTTTCACCTGTAAACAACCAAGATCTTCTCCATTTACATGGCTCTGATATTTTCCCATCTTCATATTCGAGCTACCACTCGCAGGTGTGGTAGTCTGGTGTTGTAAATGGTTTCTAGAAAAAAGTAACTAAGGGTTTAAAGAGGGGAGAAGGGAAATATATGTTATCTTTCTCTATTGGTACATGGAACACAGATTAATGACTGATATGAAAATTATCAAATTCAGAAAGTGTTTCAGTAGCATGATTGAATTGAGACTCATTGCTATCAAATCCAAAGAATCCCGTTTCTCTTGTAACAACGTGCGAAATGAAGGATCCTTTGAAAGTTGAAGGAATTGGTTTGAGTTCCTATGTTGGACACTCGTATATGCATTGATTTCTTCATCAATGTCTTCTCTTATTTGGTGGATGTTACATAGAATTACTCGTAACATTCTCTTTAATTTTTGTTTCAGACCAGTGGATCACCTGGGATTGGGCTAAGACCTCTAAATTCCTCAAATTCGGTTTCTGGTATGGGTTATGACCAGCTTATCCATCAAAACCAGTCCCAGTTTCGTCTGCAACAGATGTCAGCTGTCAGTCAGTCATTTAGGGAACCTGGGATGAAATCAATGCAGTCTGCACAGTCTAATCCTGACCCGTTTGGATTACTTGGTTTGCAAAGTGTGCTAAGGATGAGTGATCCTGATCTGACTTCTCTTGCTCTTGGAATTGATCTAACAACACTTGGGTTAAATTTGAATTCATCAGAAAATCTTTACAAGACATTTGGCTCTCCATGGTCTGATGAACCGGCTAAGAGTGATCTGGAGTTCACTGTCCCACAATGTTATTACACGAAGCAACCTCCCACTTTACATGTGAGATGTGATTCTCTTTTTGTACTTTCCTAATCTGATTCAAATGTCGGAATAAGTAGACTTGTATAATTCTGATTTATTTTTGGAGCATGCAGCAAGGCTATTTTTCAAAGTTCACAGTGGACACATTGTTCTATATATTTTACAGGTGCTTTTTTTATTTACTCTGTTGTTTTTCAGTTGCATGCTTTAAGAACTTATTCTTAGCCATCTTTATATGTTTCTAATGCAGCATGCCAAAAGAGGAAGCTCAAATATATGCTGCAAATGAACTGTATGCTCTCTACCGAATGGATTGTTACGAATTCTTTATGCATCTTTTTTCCACGATTTTAATTGAAACATGTTATTGGGCAGTTATAATAGAGGCTGGTTTTACCAAAAGGAGCACCGCTTCTGGCTGATAAGGGTTCCCAACGTTGAGCCACTGGTCAAGGCAAGCACTTACGAGAGGGGTTCTTATCATTGTTTTGATCCGACCACATTTGAAACAGTCCGCAAGGTTGAAACTACCCTATTCCTACGGAATTGTTTATGGTTTTTTTTAACTGATATTCACAATGTTCAAGTTGCTGATTGTATTAATTTGTGACTGTAGGATAATTTCGTTCTTCATTACGAGATGTTGGAAAAAAGGCCAGCATTACCTCAACGTTAGTAAGTTCTTTTTCCGATAAACGCACGAGTATGCAAGTCATTCATTAGCGTTACTGTTTTTTTTTCCTTAGCAATCTTTATCATCTCTTTGTTCCCTTTTTTTTTTTTAACAATGAGCAGCCATTGTAGCCTTTTTTGTGTGTGTAGTCTCTAGAAAGTTTTAAGATGATTGATAAGTCTGATTAATGCATGACAAATAGCACATCATCAATGAGTGACATGGTCTAGCCATCCATTCAGGGCTGGTTTTTTGATAACTTGATGACTAGTTAATGAACGGGAGCTAGCAATTCTGTATGGGAAAATGATACCGTTTAATTTAGATCACTTGTATAAATGTATGTATCTGACATTTTCTAAATACATTGAAATACTTGGAATAAGATTAATCATACTAGTGTCAGATACATTTTACGTATCAAACATTTATACCCGAATCCAAGTGCTATCTGACATTTACACTCGAATCCAAATCCAAATCCAATGGGATGACTTTGCTTGTACTCAAGATTGACTACATTACGCGAAATGACTCCTCTGAATTCTTCGATAATTTGTGTTTTTTGGGGTTTCAATCTTAATCATAAGTTGGATTTATTGTGATTTGAATTTTTATTAAAAGAAAAAGGGAAAAGGCCTTGATCATCATTCTTTAGTGTAATTCATAATAGTGGGAACGAGACAAAACTTAAACATCATTCTTGAGTTGCCTCCCACCTAGGTTAATCTCAACCTTGCACTTCAATGGCATACTTCCTCATTGGAAAGTACATCTGTCAAGGATTTCTGTATAAAATTAAAAGAGATCAATTCGAAGTCAACGCAAAGAATTATCATGGAGGTGTAGTACGAGTAACATATACAAACGGATAAAAAACAAGTGGAACACAAAAGGGAGGGAAAGAGCAATTATGCAAAGTTTTAAAATAAGGGTAAACTACATGAGTGACCATTCAACTATTGCTTCTTTTCATTTTGACTATCTATATTTCGATTTTGACAATCAGACCACTATTTAAATTATTCGATCAAGCCTTAGGCTATTAACTTTTAAAGGAGGTGATGACATCACAATTAAAAAACTTGTTATAATTACATATTGGGTCCTCAATATTATATATTCTTAAATATATTTATTTATAATATTATGGTGTTAATTAATTCTAGTTTAAACTACTGTATCTAATCATGTGGTATTCTACAATGGTCGAAAAACATGGGGTTAAATTTTAATTAAAAATGGATTTAAAACGAATGAACAATAGAAGAAACAAGTAAATCATAGATCAAATTACAAAACAATCAAATTATTTAGTAAACGATCAAAACAACATTGTTTTAATTTTCAGTTATTAGAATTTACAAATGAATTAGAACTCAAAATCCAAACAAAAAATTTGAGTTGATTTAAACGACTTGAATTTTTTTTAAAAAAAATCGAGTTTTTCCTGCCCCTAAAAGCAAGAAGTCAATAACTTCATACAAAGTCAGAATCCTAAACAAATAATGCTCAAAACCATAGGGGAGACATAAAAGGTTTCCCAGAAAATGATGGTTTTTGTTTTGATAGTCAACATAGTATGAATCAAGATGATGCCACTTCAATACATAGTTCCTTTTTCATAATACTATGAAATCTATACTATTACAATACCAAAAACAAAAGCAATTATACAAAAGTTCATAACTTTGAATTGAATAGAATAAACTTCGTTAAATCACAAAATGCAGCTAAAATGGTGCATGGTAAGGCGGCGGCGAATAACTCTGTTCTTCTGACACATCCGAATCTAAGTAGGTAAGGATGAAGAGGACACTAGTAGTTTCTTTGGTGCATGCAATCACAGGGTTCCTCCACTTTAATCAAATCAGAACCACTGAAGGTATCGACTGGCTTCTTCAGTGTCAACCCAACTCACTGGCGTTGCCTTTATATCCAAAGCAATCTTCAATATTCATAAAGTATAAAAGGCTTCTTTAAGCTCAAAGATAATTGGTGTTTTCACCTGCAACTGTTGGAGAATTTACCTTTCTATTGGTAATCAGAATTAAAATGAAATTCAAATACCCATATTTTATACATATTTGGATACGGGCATGGAACATTCAAAGGAAACCCCTCGTACTTGAATTCAGACCAAAGCAAGGGGAAATCTGCCATTTTTTTAACCGATTAAGAATCGTTATTGACCATGATAATTTGTGTTAAGAGCTCAGTAGTCTCAAAACCACTACAAGCATCCCTTACCAAAGCTCCCCAAGCTTCCAAATCAAGCCTCATTTTCCTCTTCTCAATCTCCTCCAAAACAAAGCAAGCACCATCTGTTTTCCCGCGCCCTAGTAGCCCTGCAACCAACCGACAAAATGTTTCCAACCGCGGACAATGTCTACTCTTCAACATCACATTCAAGACCTTCAAAGCACCTTCGAAATCCCCAACCATGCAAAACCCATCAACCATCATCCTATATGTAGCTGCATTAGGCTCAACACCTTTAATCTGCATTTCAATCAGAAGTTTGTAGGCTTCTTCAACTCTGCTTTCCTTACAAAGATAATTCACCAATATATTATAAATCACAACATCTGGCTTAAACCGCCTTTTCTTCATTTCACTAAGCACTGATTTAGCTTCCTCAATCTCCCCTCTCTTTCCCAGAAAATTCATCAAAACACCGAAGTTAATAACCTTCGTTTTACAACCTTTATATTCCATATCAAACATCATTTTTTTAGCTTCCTTGTATTCACCTAAAGAACACAAACCTTCCATTAACAAAGCATAAGTCACAGCAGTTGGATGCTTTCCTTTCTTAACCATATCTTCAACTACAGTCTTAGCTTTTTCCACGTCACCCTTTTTACACAAATACCCAATAAAACTATTATAAGTAACAACAGAAGGTTCCACGTTTCTTTCGAGCATTTCATCAAACAAATTACAAGCTTCAGTAAACTCCGCCCTTTCCAAAAGCCCCTTTATGATCACGTTGAATGTTACCGAATTCGGACGAAAGCCCATTTCTTTTGACTTATCAAAGAGCTCCTTCGCATCAGAATACCTATCGTTATCGACGAGAATATTAAGAACAGAATTCAAAGACTGAACCGTGCGAACGCAATTAAAAGAAGTCATCTTATGGAAAAGTTCAACAGCTTTTTCAGTCAAATCAGCTTTTCCATAATGTTGGAACAAAGCACAAAAAAGGGTTTCTTTGCAAAGAATATTAAGATTTTGTAAAATGCCAAGAAGGTTTTCAACAGCTTCGAAATTCCGAGACTTTGCAAGCTTATAAATAAGAGAAGAAAATGATGGATAATCATGCTTATAACCCCTTCGGTAATATTCATGGAAAAGAGACAAAGCTTCATCCGGGTCATGTGTTACTTTCATAGTTGCGACAAAAGGGGTTGGCCTTTTTGGGTGTCGTTTTTTAGGGTTTTCACGATTTATTTCGGTGTTCGGGTTTTTAGCACCGAAACTATGGTTATGTTTAGAATGTCTCTGGATTTTAACGAAATGGTTTCTCAGAACTCGTTGAATTTGGTTCATAGGTTTCGATATAGAATGTATCATGGCGGAGAAACAACGTTTAGATTCCTGCGAGGAACTGAGAAAAAATAAAGGAAAAAGAAAACGGCGAGCTGAGAAGGAAACTGTGAGAAAATGGGAAAAGAAATATGAGATTCAGGACAGTTCCCAAGCAAAAACGCCCGCTACCGCTAATTAGTTGTGAATGGGCCGCAAATTCAATGAATTTATCTTGAAGAGCTAAGCTCAGTTTTGTATATGTAGGCCCAAACTTGTTGGACATTAGAGCTACTTAGAAAATTCCATATATCATAAACCCTAATTTTCTCAGGCTCCTTGCAGCTAAACGGATCCTCCGCTTCTCCATCAATAGGTCTCCTTCCTTTCCTCATTCGCTCTGTCGGACTAAATTCGGCTTTAAAAGTATTTTAAACTGAATTTTCGTATTTTTTTTTTTGCTTTGGTTTAGGTTTATAGAACGGGTTGAGACAGCAGCAAACAATGGCTCCAAAAGGTATTTGAATTTGGTTTATGTTTTACAGATTATTAACTAATGTACTACAACAGTTTTTTTTTCAGAAAAAGAAGTTTTGTAATGCTTGTTGAAGTTATGCTCTGTGTAATTATTCTATGTTTGGTTGTTGATATACGAAATGAGATTAAGGGTTTTCTTCTTTACTGTTTTGCTTTACAAGAAAGCTCAAAATGAGCTTAAATTTTATTCTGTGCTGTTTAAATATTATTTATTTCGTTGTGTTAAGCTTGAGTTTTGATTACTTATGCTTAGCTCTTGTCAGGTGTTGTATTTATTAGCCGGTGTACAATTATTGAGCTATTTTTTGTTCCTTTACATGACTACATTTCAGAGCATTCGAATTCTGGATGTTGGATTGTTCACCATTTGATTTGATTTAAGTACTTTTACTGGAAGTGATGTCTCTAGAGCTAAATGTATTGATGGTTTGCTCGATTCTAGAAGTAGGATTGTGTTGTTTGGTTGTTATTGGTTTGCATTGATGGTTTCATCAATTCTTTTATGAATGTGGCTCGGGTTTGTACTTGTAACCAGTGCCCTCTTGGAATGTAACCCCCACAGACCGATAAGGGTAAACAGATCCGATCTGAGGTGTCACATTTGGGCCACCGGAGCGACCCACTGTAAAAATAGCGGAAAATTTAAAACTTTTATTGAAACATGTAACTTATAAAATCAGTTGTCACTATTTAAAAATAAAACAGACGTCCAGACTCGTATATAAATCAAAATACAATTACATGCCTCCTAATCACATGTACCATACTCTGCAACAACGCCGGAAGAACTCTCTTACTGATATCGATAGCTGCACTGATACAATTCTTTTAACCTGAAAATGTGAGTAATAGAGTGAGCTTCGAAAAACTCAGTAATACAGAACTACCAGATGATGATGATGAACGTGTAGATACAGATAAATATATATTTCCTTATTGTGTCCGAACATTTACAGATTTTTATGCTGAGCAGAGATCCTACTGATATTTCAGGTGGTAACAGACAATGAACTTTCAGTTCAGATGGAAATATTTTGGATGACTAAATTCAGGAGATCAGAATAGGTTATCTAGTGTGTTCCCGCAAAACCTGTGAAAATATGCATATATTTTCTTTTAAAACAGTGGCAATTCAAAACATATTTTTATTCAAAAACCATATTAATCCATCTAACCAAACACACCATAATGTGTAGGTTCCCTAGAATCATACACCACCAACACACCAAGTAAGGCCCTGAGCACAAAGCAGAGGATCCTGCAGTAACGGTAACGATAACTTCCTCCAACAACACCCTCACATAAAACATTTATCAAAAGCCATAGTAATCCCTCCAACCTAACACACCATAATGTGTAGGTTTTCTAGAATCATACACCCACCAACACACCATAATGTGTAGGTTCCCCAGAACCATACACCCACCAACACACCAAGTAAGGCCCCGAGCATAAAGCCGAGGAACCTGCATATATAGTAACCTCCAACAATACCCCCAAATAAAACATGTTCCGTCCGTAAACAGATATATCAAAAATCAAAACATAATTCATGTCAAGTATCATATCAAAATCCAGGTCAAGTATCAGATCAGAATCCAAGTCAAGTATCAGATTAAATTCCATGTCAGATATCAGATCAGAATCCATGTCAAGTATCAGATCAAAATTCAAATCGAAAATCAAATAAAATATTCATGTGGGTAGGGAACACACCAGAGTTTACATATATTATTCATAAGTACAGAATAATCTTATCAGACAGAGAAACACGGATCTTCAATATACCGATAGAATGTTGGGATTTATAATCACTATTGGAAGAGTTCAATGACTGATGGAATCATAAGTTATTCAGATTGAGACTTATCGAGATCATATCTTATTCATACATTTTTTTTGAAAGCTCTACATAATCAAAAGGGTATTCAGAATCCTTTACATCTGAGCTACTTATATTTTCAGATATAACCTTACTAATTTGAGCTGATAAGGGAGAACAACGATTCAGAAATTTTACAATCTTTGTCGATTGATCAGATTAACGAGTTACTTGATATGAATAATTCCCATAACTAATGCTCATCGATTGGTCAATTCTTTGTCCTTCCAGTGTATTTATTTATTTTATACCTAACATTCTTATCCATAGATATTCCAATGTTCTTTATTTCATTTTCACGCTTCCACAGTATCATGAAATGCTGACGTGCTTGATTTATAGTTCATGACCCATAAAAAACATTTCATTATGTATGTTCGTTAACGTTTCCAGACTCATCCAAATCACTTATTTAATCATTAGTCATTGAGGTTACTTATTTCATTTAACAGTCAAGTCTATACCGGTTACTTAAGAGTTTTCCAGAGTAAATCGAACATTTTCTGAATTTCGGATACATATTGTACTTTCGTTCAGTTCAGAATTCGTGGTTGATTTGTCGAACAAATATCCAATTCTTAGTACTGAATATGATCTAGAGTTTAGTTGAGTTGAATATTTTCAAATTTATCATCGAGCCAAACTTGAAAAGACGAACACGCATTCCAGTAATATCTATGCCGTTCAGGTATTGACATAGCTTTAGAGTTGATCTACTCACTTAAGTTTTGTTCTATAACTTTTAAAGGTAGTCCAACACCTATGTTTATTTGAATTCCTTAATTAATCCAAGACATTTACTTAATATAGGCCATAAGGGTATTTTGGTAATTTTGGTGTTCAATTTTATTCCATTCATTTTAGAGCTCGAGGATATCCAATCATTCTTGAGCTTGGTGGTATTCTTGGGTCATTTCTATTACAGGGGTATTTTGGTCATTGTACAGATTCAGTGTACTTTAATCATTTCCTTCCGTCTGATCTTACTATTAAATTCGATCTTATCGTTTATTTCAGTCATTTCGAATAATTTTGACAACAGAACAACCCCGACAAATTGTTCTTCAGGTATTTACTCATAACTCGGATATTTTCGGGTCAGGTGCCTTCTCAGATTTTACAAACGGAATATCAGGAATTTTCCTGCACTAAGTCAGGATCTTAACAATTAAATCCGTACTTAATCGAGTTAAGTACGAATCCCCTAAGTATTTTCTCATTCAGAGTCAACTCAGATTATTCTACCTCTTAAGGGCATTTCTGTAATTTCTTAACCAGATAATTTCGATATTAGCTCTTAACGAAAATAATATAATTTAGAGATCCTATGATTAATTGCTTTCTTGAACACTCTCTGATCTTGAAACGGTTCTCTTAACAAACTTCTAGTATCCTTCACAAACTCTCATAGGATTAAAATCGGTTATCCATAATTTCCAAATAAAACTAACATTTCTTATGCACATTAATATTTTTATCAGATCAATATGTCTGTAAAATCCTCTTATCTAACTTCCATATTCAAATCTTGTCTTTTTATAACATAAGGGTATTTTCGTTATTTTACCCTACCAGAGTATTATCATAATTTCTCATCCAAGTACCTTTAACATTTAACCTTTGATAAAATAAATTATAAGTTGCAGATACATGGTTGATTCCTTTATCACTAATCACAAACTTGTAATTTAATCTAACAATTTCTCAATCTCTTATATTAGTCATTCGATCCGTAATTAGTTACATAATTTCTATCACATCATATCGAGTGTATAAATTATTCAACTCCACCAAAGTGACCAACATTATCTTGTTCATACATTTATCAATATAAACATGTTCCATAAAGCATAAAGAGGTAGTAAAATATTACCTCGATTTCCGTGCAATACTGATCGACCATAAAAATTCCATTCAAACGTCTTTGATCTTCAATTCAACTTCCAATAATTCCTCAGATACATATCAACATAAATTATATCAGAAACGGAGCTTAATTGCGATAAACGGATCGAATCAGGTGATAAATCAGTGAAAGACAGCTTACCGGGTTCGAATTTGGCGAACGGACTTCGGATTCAAATTCAGGACGTCGAAAGTATAAAATATGACTTTTCGGAAATTTGAAAATTTCGGTCAAAATCAAAGTCAACGGGTTTGACCGACAATTTCGAGACCTTCGGGTTCGAATTTCGAAAAACGAACTTTGGAATTGGATTTAAAACGTCGAAAAATGTCAGGATAGGTATACTCGGTCAAAGTCAAAGGTCGTTTAATGACCAGTCAAAGCCAGTCAAAGTTTTGGTCAACAGTGGTCAACGCCGGTCAACGGTCAACGGGTCGGGTCAACGGGTCGGGTCGGGTTGTGACCGGTCAAACCAGTCAAATTTGCTCCAAAATCGATCAAACCGGTCATTTGGACCATCCCCACGCGCAGTGGCGGCTCGTGAGTATTGTTCCGGCAGCGTAAAATTCACAGAAAAATTTTTAAAAATTATTTTGAGCGATTTCGAGATACTTACAAAGCTCGGTTCAAATTTTTGAACGGCGGAGAGCTCGATTTCATCGAATCGGAAACTTTGACCGCTTCACCTCCTCATGCGTCGTCGTCGACAGAGACCAAGGATGACACCGGCAGACTCGGAACGATGCAAGGAACACGATGGTGCGGGAGGTGTCGTAAATGGATGACCCGATCGTCGTGAATCGATGAAAAATCAACTAAAATTGAGTTATTACCGACGATACTTCCGACTGAAATTAACGACGAACGGCGACGATTCATGACGAAAGGTTTGGGGGGTTTTGTTCCTCGCTCGACAACGAACACGATGGTGGTTTCGGCTCGTCGATCGGAGGTCGGACGACGAGTAGATCAGAGTTCAAAGAGGGGTTGATGAAGAGGAAAATCTGGAAAAATTTCTCCAGAAAACATACAGGAGAGTGATTTATAATTCTCTCCAAAATAAAAATGGGTAAATCATGGGTTTAGCCACTGAATTTCTTACACTTCTTTAAGCGGTCTGCCAACTTTAAAATTTTGCAATTTAATCCTCAATTTTTTTCCAAACTACCAATTAAATTCACCACTTTATAATTTCTTAAATTTAATCCCTAAATTGAGGTGTTACATGGAATGTCATCAGAGGTGGTTAACCAGAGTTTATTGAAGTGATTTCTGTAGGAAATGTTCTTCGCATTGGCATTAAAATTGCATTGCCTAAGTTTCTTCCCTAATACAATCTATTTTGATAATGGTGTTCATATTGTCTTATCATTAGTTATGTTGATTATTGTTGTACATTATGCAGCTGAGAAGAAGGCAGAGCCAAAGGCACAGGCCTTGAAGGCTGCGAAAGTAGTGAAATCTAGACCACTTTTAAGAAGAAGACTAAGAAGATCCGTACAAAAGTTACATTTCACAGGCCAAAGACCTTGAGGGCCCGTTTGGATCAAGTATTTTATCATTCCCGGTAGGAATTTTTTTTTTCCTTACTAAAGATACCCATGTTTGGTTGGGTAAGATTCCCAAGAGAGGGTAATGTTTCAATAAAATGGTTGTCCCTTGTTCCCATATGTAATGGGGGTAAGGGGGAGGTAAGATAGTAGGCTGCCCCCAACACTAAGTTGAGAGCAGCTTCCGTAGGAGACCTCCAAATTATGAAATGCCCTCCATGGGACTCGATCCCACGACCTCAAGGTTAAGAACCTTGTGCTCTACCAACTGAGCTAGATGGTCATTTCGTAATGTTTCAATACCAACAGTAAATTTAGTGTGTTTATTCTTGGGAATGTTATTCCCATATGTGTCTCAGGTATTTTTTTATTCCCGTTCTTAAGGGCTAAAATACCCTTCTTTTCCCGTGAGCTTGCCTCTGCGATATTTCTTCTCCCGTGAGCTTGTCTCTGCGAAAATTCATCGTTTTCCCAGTGATCTTCTGGTAAGATTTCTTATCCCGTGAATTTGCCTCTGCGATATCTTCTTCTTAAGGTTTTGGTTGCTTTTTGATTGAAAATTAGTATAGTCGATTTAAGTTAACCTCAATAGATAGTTTCCTTTAAACGCCTAAACTACACTTTCCCGATCCCTCTTCGTTCCAAGAAACAGAAAGAGGCGGGGAAACCGTTGATGAAATAAAAGAAAAGAGTTTACGGTTTTCCTGATTTATTTGGCAATGGTAGGGATCATGAATCCAGCTTCGAGAGTTTATCCAACTCAGTGAAGTTTGCTGGTGACTTGAGTCCAAAACTAGAGTTGTGTCGTCAATTGAAGCATGATTTCTTGGAGGAAGACGCTGCTGCTTTGTCCGAGTTCCTTCCTCGTATCTTCGACCTTTACTCGGACCCGTCCGGTCCTGTTCGCAAACTTGCTACCCAGTACGCCTCCTTTGAAATCCCTACTTCAACCCGCTATGCCTTAGTTGTTTTTCTTTATTTCTTACAAATTATTTTTTAAATTAAATGTAGGATTATTGGTGAAATTGGAGTGAAGTACCTCGAATTTGTACCTGAAATTGCACCCTTTCTGATAACTGTTTTGGAAGATGCTACACCTGTTGTTTCCCGACAGTCTATTTCTTGCAGTTCGTTATACTCTCGAAAAGATTACAATTCAGGTTTGTTTCCATAATCTTATTTTGTAGAATATTAATTTGTGAATACTAGATTTTCATGGATTCAATTATTGATAAGGAAAAGCGTTTAGTTTTGTCTTCACTAACTGTTGCATTGTATTTCATGTCAGTTTCTAGAAGGTGATGGATGATTTGACATCATTTAAGCTTTACATTAGGCAGTAGTCTATTTGCAGCTTGCTAACTTTAAGTTGCACCTTCTACAAATTCACATGGTGTTTGTGTTTGTTTCAGGGCCATCAGTCCAGTGAATTGGTTAGTGATCTTGAATCAACATGGTCGTGGTTGTTAAACTTAAAGGAGAAGATATATTCTATAGCTTTCCAGGTAGCTTTTGATTCTTTCTGTTTCACGACGATTCAAAATTTATTCATTACCTGATTCATTGTAAAATTTAATCAGTCAGGAAGTGGTGGGATAAGATTAGTGGCATTGAAGTTTGTTGAAGCAGTAATTCTTCTTTATACTCCTAATCCTAATGGCTCTGCAGAACCCCCTTCTAATGAAGGTAATTTGCTTTAGATAGTTGTCTCATCAAGGTTAGAGTGCTTGATGAAAAAGATTTTCATAATGTCATTTTAGTACGTTATTGACTAGCACTTTAAGAAATTTTATGTCCTATTCAATTTACTTTGTAGGAACCCAATAAAGTTTAACATAGCTTGGATTCATGGGCGCCATCCTTTTCTCAATGTCGGGGATTTGTCAATTGAAGCCAGTCAGCGTTTGGTTTTGTTGCTTGATCAGCTTAGATTTCCAACAGTAAAGTCTCGAACAACATCTATGATTGTTGTTCTTATCAACAGGTATGGCATCCATTCAACTTATTTCAACCGACTCTTTTCTTGGCATTCAGTTCATCATGATACATGAAATCTCTATCTTTAACACTGATATGAATTGTGAATAACCAGGAAATGATATCTATGTAAAACAGTTCTAATTTTCAGTTCTGTTATAAAGATGAGAACTGAAAATTGTAGTTTAATCAAAAGTTTCCACCAGAAGTCCTGAGAAGAAAATTTATTACTGGCATAGCTATTATCCTTGCATATGAACCTTTAAATGTCCACTTTCTCATTCTGTGGTTAATTTAAGGCATCGACGGAAGTGCAAATTTTGGTTTTCACTTTTGATTATATTTCTGTTTTTAATTTATTGGGTTTCCATTGTTTTGTCTTTGATATCAGTCTTTCAGCAATTGCAATAAGCGACCAGCATATTATGGACGCATTCTACCAGTTTTACTCAGTTTGGATCCCCCAAGCTTTGTAATCAAAGTGGTTCATGTCTATGGAGCACATCATACTTTGAAAAATGCCTTACTATCATGCTTGAAATGTACTCATCCAAGTGCTGCACCGGTATATATTTTATACTGAACTTTCTTTTTCAGACTGTTATCAATTACTAAGGTTGCATCTCTCTTCTTCTTCGGTATTTTGTTTACATTTTACTTGTGCAAACCCAAGTGCCGCACTTGTATTTGTTTTATATTAAACATCCTCTTTTAGACTCTTATCCATTAATAAAGTTGAATCTCCCTTTCTACTTTGGTGTTTCTTTTACATTTTACTTCATCCGTGAAGATATTTGTTTTTCATGTACCTTTACATAAGTTGCTTAGTACTTTTGGTAATCATGAGAGATGAATGGGTAGTCTTTTATACTCTTTTTTACCAATCAGGTGTGTTCTCTAATATGGTACCATTACTTATTTTTACTGGTTTATTTACCAGCATCTATAGTACCGTTATAACTGTACTTCCATTACTTGGCAGCCATCAAGCATCAAAGTTGAGTACCTTACCCACTTTTTGTATGTACTTTTTTTCAGGTTTATACAGTGGCGGGATCGTTTGCTTGGTGGTTGTTATCCTCCTCTGCATTCACAGCTCTTGATGGTTGCTATACATATATAAGCTGGTCGGCAATGAGGTCCTGCTCTTAATGCCAAACGTTCTGTTGTGGAAATATTCAGACAGTTGAGATAGGTTGTCTTCAGAATTCATGCAAATCCTAGCATTGCAATAGCCATGAATGTTCCAACCCTGAAGTAGATGTCATTAACACTTTTTTCGAAAAGCAATCTCATGACCGATAGCTTAGAATAATTCGGACATGGCCAAATTAGCAACCACTTAAAATTGTTTTAGAATTCTCTTTAGATACAAGTAAACTATTTCACTTGTCCTTTGTGTATGATCCGAAAGAAATTAACGGTCTAGTATGTTCAAAGCTTGGCCTCTGTCGGTTTTTGTATGTTCTCAGAGAAATTACAGGTTGAGAAACATGAATTATTGGGTTGCTTGCTTTTCGTAATCAGGAATTAAGTACAAATCAAATTAGGACTGAGTATTAATAATTTTATTAAAATATTAGCAAAGATAATGATGAATGACGGTGAAATATAAAATTATAGACAATATTATTTTTAGTGTTATATTTTTTTATTTGAATTATGTTTTTGTAATATAAATTCATGAGATAAATAATAATGATAAAATATGCAAAATTAAGGATAAATATAAAAGATAAATAAATAAATTATTGTATATAGAATATATAATAAATATTATATCTTAAATAACAAAAATAGTTTACAACTTTTTATTATTATGAATATCTATGATAAATTATTGTATATAGAAGAATGTAAACCTTGTCGATTGAAAAATACAAAAAACCTCTCAGTTAATGCGTCACGTATGAACTGAAGTTAGTTTTCACAATGTAAACATTTAGTTAAATGTTGATGTAAAATTTTAATATATTTTTACATAAATTATGTAAAATTTAATACTAATAAAAATAAAAATAATACATAATATATTTAAATACTCAAATAATATAGTATCTACAGATAGAATTTTTATATAAATAATTTTTATTTAAATATTTAGAATTTAACTTGTTAAAAAATATAGAACAAGGACAATTTGGTAAAATATACATTTCAGTAATCTTTTATTCCTTCAACTAAACACTGTAATCTTACATTCCTGCTAAACCAACCAAACACAGTAATGTAACATTCTCAGTAATCCTATTCCCTGGTAATCTTTTATTCCCAGTAGTAATCTTACATTCCGTGAACCAAACGCGAAAGATAGGAATCCCAAGTATCAACACATTAGTGCTCTACCAAGGAACAGGCTCGATCATTATCAGATTCTCAAGTTTCCCCTCACAACTGAGTCGGCAATGAAGAAGATTGAAGACAACAACACTTTGGTTTTCATCGTCGACGTTTGTGCCGACAAGAAGAAGATCAAGGATGCTGTCAAAAAGATGTATGATATTCATGCCAAGAAGGTGAATACCTTGATCAGGTAAAGTCATACTTGTCCTTGTTAACTATTATCATATCCATGAGCTAATTGCATTTACTGTATAACTCAGGATATTCTACTGTATGGCATAATCATTTCTGCATAAGTTTGCATATAAGTAGGATATTTGACATTAATTGGACAGCCCTTTGCTATCTGGGCCTTGTCAAAACTACATGTGAAGAAATGCAAAAAAAAGATGTATTATTTAGAACAATATTGCATTATCATCTCCGGGTCTTGTGGCTTTCTTTAGAACAATGATGTTTTGAACAATAATTCATGTCATCTCTATATATGCGTGCAATGGTTTATGTTTCTTGTTATTCAGGCCGGATGGTACAAAGAAGGCATACGTTAGGTTAACTCCGGATTATGACGCAGTGGATGTGTCAAACAAAATTAGAATAATCTAAAGCTAGTTGGTGATTATTTCCTTGTTTTGAGCATTTGAACGTTTCTGCAAAGTGTAACACTGTTATTTCGAGAGAGTTGGATTTAGTTTTAGCTTTGATATTTGAGTGAGAAGGTAATTTTTGATGTACTTTTGTTTTGATACTCGTTTTAAGTGATTCAATGATTGATTGTTAGCAAATTGTCTGCAACAACATTAATTAAGTAGGCAACATTCAGGGTATAAACGTTTGACAGACTTCAGATAACAAGCGACAGGTATAACCAGTTGGCATTGGAATAAATATAATCAAATCTATATATTTTATCCCGCGTATGCACATGAGTAGGTGTACTTGCATTTGAAGTTCATATTTGGTTTTAATGTAACGGTTTTTTATTGTGTTTCATGGTATTTGAATTGTGTTCACCGAAACGATTTTCAGAAGCACCGGTGGTCTAGTGGTAGAATAGTTCCCTGCCACGGTACAGACCCGGGTTCGATTCCCGGCTGGTGTAAAATTTTGCTATCTCGACAGGAAACAAACTTTTTACCACCCACCAGTTTGCTCTCATGGTCCAACACACCACTGCAGTACAAGTACAAGAACATGACGAGACAGAAACATCACAATTCATCTTCACAAAAGGACAATTTGGAAACCGGCACCAAGACATGGATGGTATCAATCGGCAAAAGGGTAATAATATGCTCAAGAGATTCAATCTCCTCTTCCTAAGCTAAATTATCATTAAAAGCAAATCATATTATGACACCATCAACACACTTGGAACGGCATCAATAATCAATTTCTCAGAAAGATAAGTTCGAATAAAATTAACAAGAAATGCGAAATCAGAATATACATAACACAAAACTTAACAGAGTTGAATGGATCTGCCAATATCATTCATCTATCAAATTCAAGCCCAAAAACAAGTGTATCCAATTTACACCCACAATCCTTGATCTTTACAACAAGAAGACGCTAATCATCTTCTTTTTGTTAAGTCATAGAAACCTTTTGTTGTTTGACTAATGTTGATTGGAGAGTCAAAACCAGCACCTTTGTTCAACATCCGTGTACTGCTAAGCCCCGAACTTGCAAAGTTCATCATCGAGGCCGAGCACTGGTTCACCCGTTTCTGAGCCATGGTTCTATTTGGATTGGCCAACGATTTGGCGTCATGAGTTTTGGAATCACAAACACCTGTAAGGGAAACAGAGGGGATTTTGAAAGCTTGAAATGGGGGAGGATTCCTCCAACGAGGAAGAGGACCAGCAACAATAAGTGTTTGAAGAAGAGGTCCAGCTTCCATTACAGCCTGCAAAAGCTTCCTTTTTTGAGGCAAACTTCTACCCTTTGCTATATCATCAATAATAGCTGTTGCAGAATCAATGTTGGTCACCAACGGAACATTGTGTTGGTTCCCAAAACCCATCATCTTGCAAGAATCAGCAGCGATTTTCCAGGTTGAAAAGTCTGGTGAAGTAACAGCGTCGAAAAAAGAATCCCCTGGGGAGGAACAACCGAGTGAGTGATGGTGATTGTAAGCATCAGATAAACTGTTGGATTCAGTGATGCTTGAATTTGCTTTTACAGATGTTGCAACTGGATTTTCAGAACGGGGGTGTGGCATTAACTTGTTGATCAACATCTTCAATTGTTCCCTTGCTTCGTCTCTTTCTTTGTAAGCAAGCTTTATGAGACCCAGCAGATGATTTATTTCTTCACTGTGTTTTCTTTTCTGTTCATCTGCTTCCATTTTGAGGGACTCTAGCTCCATCGTGGTGATTTGAAGCCTGAATTTCAGTTGATCTACACCCTGTTCATTCAGAAAACAAGGGTTAGTGAAAACATATGAAAATAATTCCTTGAAAAAGACATCGGATTATGGGAACACGAAATATTACTAGTCTCCTAAAATTATCCAACAATGAGATAATCCCAACAAAAAAAAAAACCGAAAAGCGTCTGACATGTGATGTAAAAACAACAAGAACTTGAAGCAAACATCCATTTCCATCCTCCCTACAAGAAACGAAAAACAATGATGCAGAACATACAAGAATGGGGTTTTGAAAAGACAATTTGATTTTGTGGTAGTGTTTCTGTTATGAAGAAAGAAGTCAAGACCTGTAAAGTAAAAGTCAGTATTCCATATCAAAGAGCTACCATGGAAAGAATTAAGTAAGGTAAGACTCGACATCATCTACATACTAAACGCAGATTACACCTCTGAATGGGAAGAAAGTAGTTGAGAAGATGAGAAAAGGGAAGGAACAAAAACAACCACTTGATAATTCCACATGGAACCCAATTCTTCCATTCTAGTGAAGCAAAGATGGGGAGGGAGTTAACTTAGATTGTCTAGTCAGTCATTTTATAGAACAAATCAGAGGCAAATAAAGACAATAACAGCCAGACTTTTTTCCTTTCACAATGATGTAAGGAAAGCTCCAAACTTTTCACTTACCATAAATAAATTACACTTTAAATAGATTCTCATGGTCATTATGGTAGAATCGTAAATATTATATTGACCTTTTTAACTTAATTTTTTTTCATTTACAACATTAGAATTCAGCATCAAACACTTGACAATTTATCAGGACTTTTGTCTCTTTCTTGTATCAAAATTCACTCCTTTCCCTCCATTATATATGTTTAGTCATCTCTGAATGAATAAGATTTTGCTTTTGCATTGAACTTTATATATGGAATGTAATGGCTGTTTCTTTCTAAACTTAACGCGGTTTTGCCCTTGTTTGTGTGAAAGCAAAGCTTTTATCAACTACAACTCAACTGGGTTTATGATGGGATTTGTTTTATTAAAATATATGAAGATGAGTTGAAGGTGTAGAGTTGTTCCATTAACAAGGCTCCCTACTTATTTATATTATGTGCTAAGAGGGTGTCCTAGATTGCATTCTCAACTGCCCAACCACTTCATGTTGTTCTGTTTTCTTAATTATTTTTTATACTCTTCTCATATCAAGGTTTGGAGCAATCTAGCCAGAAATGATCATCGAACGAGAGGACGGAACGAACAGTCGTCCTCTAAAAAATAAAAATGATCATATATTTAAATTTTTTAATATATTTTCTATTAAAAAATTATTTTCATTCCTTAGAGTTTTATATGTTCATTTATTTCTAAAATTTTAGACGTTTATCTTCAAACATAAAATCACATGTCTATTACTAAATATAGCCATGGTGGATTTCTGTTCCAATTAATGTCACATGATTTTCTGAATCTTTGTATGTATTCTGAATAAGCGGATGAAAGAAGTGACAAGACATCTATCAAATGTTTCAGTTCATCCCTAGATTTGGATCTTAATATTTTTAATAAATACAATTTCGATTAATATTTCAATATTCTTTGATTTAAAAGGAAAGGATAAATTTTAATTAGCTGATTTTTTCTGGCTATAATTATGAAGATAATATCACCTTTGACTCCTTGATATTATCCTTAATTAATATACTCTTGCCTCTGTTAGGCTCAAGTAATGGCTAGTAGGGTGGATGATGATGGGAGCCTAGGTGCCTTGCATCTCCAACATTTGGGGGAAAATCTTTTAATTCCTTTAAAAAGTTAAAAAAATTTAATTTGGTCCCTTTAAAATTTTAAGAAAATCTTATTTATTATCAAGATCCAATATTAATAATAAGTATTATTGCCTATTTTGTTTTCATTCCTTTTTTGTTTTTTAAATTTAAATCAATTATAGATCATATCCCGGTTCAGAATCAATTTAGAATAAACTATACAGGTGACCACTCAACTATTATCTCATTACATTTTGACTATCGATGTTTTGATTTTGTCAAACATATCATTCAACTATTTAAATGCTTCAATCAAACGATGATCATTAATTCTTAATTGAGGAAGCGACATAACAGTTAAAAATTTGATATACTTGTATATTTGGTCCTCAATAACTATACAATCTATCAATTTGATAATAATTAAATTCTATTAAAATAAATCTACTCTCTAATTAAATAGTGACACATGTCACTTAAAAGATATTTTCTTTAGGGCAATAGTTGAATTGATCACCCATGTAGTTTACCAACAATTTAACTCAACATTAAAACTCGACCCTAAAATGTAATCTAATCCCGATAAAATCACCTCGTTTGTGATCCAATGTAACACGACATAAATCCTTGTGTCACAATACAAGTCGTACTAAATTTTCTCCAATCTCTTTTTTATATCATTCATGTTAGAAGAATAATTATATGTTGAGTAATTATGGGTACAACAGTCTTAATATACGGTTTAGGAAAGATCCTATCAGAAATATTATTATATTTTTAATATTTTCGGTAAAGTGTTACCTAAAATATTATTTTTTTACCCAAATGATTATTTTCGTTAACTAATTTCCGGTAGAACCCAATATTAACATTTCAGGTAGAAAAAATAATGTTTTAGGTAGCATTTTACCGGAAATATTAAACATTTTAGGTAGCACCCAATATTAATATTTTCGATTGAAAAATAATAATATTTTAAATAGTATTTTACAAAAAATATTAAAAAATAATAATATTTCTGATAATATATTTTTTTAACTGTATATTAAGACTTTCGTACTTTATACATCCCCTTATATGTTAGGAGGAGTCGACGAGCGGTTTTCGATACACTTTCACATGTCATCTGATATTATTATTTAATATATATAATATATAAAAGAGAAAATCGCCTCAGTGACCAAAAAAAAGTTATAATATACGATTTTAACCAACTTTTTTTGGATTTGCCAAAATGACCAACAAAATCGCAACGCGAAATAAAAATCGCAACGTGATCCCCAGAATCGCAAATCAGTTTCCAGAATCGCAAATCAGTTTCCAAAATCGCAACGCGATTCTTGAAAATCGCGATGCGATAGTACAAATTCGCATTGCGATTTTCCAAAATCGCAACGCGAATATGAAAATCGCAACGCGAACACATAAATCGCAACGCGTATCCGTAAATCGCAACGTGTATCCGTAAATCGCAACGCGTATGGGTAAATCGCAATGCGTATCCGTATATCGCAACGCGTATCCGTAAATCGCAACGATAATACATAAAATCGCAACGCGTATCCGTAAATCGCAACGCGATATTTAAAGCGCCATTATAATCGCTACGCGTATTTTATTTTCAAATTACAAAAAGAATATTAAGACAAAATCCCGTAATCGCAACTCATAACCTAAAACCTAAAATCACAACTCAGTCCCATCTCCATCTCTCACTCTCTACGGCGAAGAAATCCGTCCCCATCTCCGAAGATTTCCGTCCCCATCTCCGGCGAAATCCCTCACAACCATTCACGGTCAGAAATCCCTCACAATATTCAGAAATGGAAAATCAACCTCCGAGGGTTAGTTTTTTTAATTATTTTTATTTTGAAATGTTTGCATTATTGTAGGTTTTTCATATTGAAACTGATGATAAGTTTACTGGTCATTTCAATAATAGATTAACCATTTCACTTAGATTTCATTTCGCGTTACGATTCTGTCGTTGCGATTTTCATTTCGCGTTGCTATTCTCTCGTTGCGATTTTCAAGTTAGTATTTGTCTTTGTCTTTGTTCTGTCTTTTGGTTGAAGTAATGCAATCCATTCAAGTTTCAATTTGCAGAAGAGTCGCAACGAGATAAATGAAAATCGCAACGAGAGAATGACTGTCGCAACGAGAGAATCGCAACGCGAAATGGAAATCGCAACGAGAGAATCGCAACGCGAAACCAAAATCGCATTGCGATTTTCATTTCGCGTTGCGATTCTCTCGTTGCGATTTTCATTCGCGTTGCGATTCTCTCGTTGCGATTGTCATCTCGCGTTGCGATTCTCTCGTTGCGATTTTCATTTCAACCAAAAGACAAAACAGTGTTGCAAATTTTAGTTTAAAGAATAAACTACTACTTTTTATGTTTATTGTTTTTGGTATATCTTCACAGTGTAGTTTTTGGTATATCTAACTTGGTATGTTTATTGTTTTTGTAGAAATTTTTTTCGGCTCAATTGACCTTGAGAAATAAAGTCAGCCTGGCCACTACAATTGCAAAGAAGCTTTCACCTGCTCAAAGACAATTGTTTGAGGAAACCTGCTTCGGGCCATGGCTGAGAGTACAGCATCCGGGTGGAGATGCTAATTTGACCCATTTGTGGCTTCAGACCATGACATCAAATCTACCCGACAGTATACAACGTGGTGAGGAAGAGATATGGTTTCATTTTCCACCAGCGTATACTTGCTTTGGGCGGAAGGAGTTCTGCTTAATCACTGGTCTACGATTCGGACACGATGATGTAGGCCGGTACACTCGTCATATCGCCCGCCCATCATGGTTATCCCGGGTTTTTCCGGATGAGTCAATGGAGAAGCCGAACCTACATGTCGACGACCTGAAGAAATTATTTAATAAGAAAGCTGGTTTCACTCGGATGGAAGACGTCGATGTTGTCCGAGTATGCCTTCTACTACTTGTGTATGCCGGCTTTTAGGCAGAGAGGCCAGACAACCTATTCATCGGGAGCTAATAATATTGGTAGAGGACCTGAATGCATGGAATCTGTTTCCGTGGGGTTCGTATATATGGAAAGCTACCTGGACTAAGTTGTCGTCTGCCTTTGATGACCGCAAAAGTTTGCGGGGCGATGGGTCCAAATACACTTTGTCAGGCTTTGTTTGGGCCTTTAAGGTAAGAATTTCTATATAATGTTTCTAAAATTATAATTAATTATTTAACAATTACTAATTTTGTTATTATATTGTTTGTAGATTTGGATATTCGAGGCTTTCCCCAGCATGCGTACATATGCAATAAAAACGTCAAATGATATTCCCAGGGCTATTTCCTGGAAGAGGAAAACTCTGTTGGATTGGGAAGACTTAATACCATATGCCACAATAAATAATGTAAGTTAACACAAATACTTTCATATAATATATAAACAAGTTATTAATAGTAGACGTTTAACTTTGTTTGAGTTTTTATATTTTAGGAGGCCAACATTCCATTACAAAGACTGACACCCACGGAGAAAGAGCTTGCCACTGATTGGTGGCAAGCTAGTCAGAATTTTTTTGATGGCACGGATGATGAGCAGCATCCACTTCCTCCAATTCGAGAGCCATCACCTCACCTAGAGCCATCACCCGATCGACCCGACTATACATCTCTAGAACGAGAGCCATCACCTATCCCGTCACATCATCGAGCCTCTTCTCCACCATCACCTCATGATAGGCGACCGGCAAAGATGCCACGACTCCTATCTCCCTGTTCTCCACCTCCACCTCAACGGGATGAGTCA